GATGCAGACGGGGGTTGTTATTGAGGAGCGCTGCTGGCACACTGGAAAAACAAAACTCCATTTCCTATTTGGCCTCAAATCATGAATCGAAAATGTCAGAACATTACGCTAGAGCACATAAATAAGATAACAAATGTGTTCTTATAACTTACCAACTAGGTAGTCTTACTGCACAAGACACACATTCGCTTTCCACAAACACGAGTCAGCTGTAAACTGATTAAAACAGCATGAAGAGTAGTTAGAGACACAAAGCTAAAAGTAATAGATACTTAAACTGTGGAAACGTCTAGTTTCTGCCACAAATGGCAGTTGTACGAATGCAAACTTCACCTAAAAGAAAAAGAGATCAAGCCTCATCAGCAACACCAGCATAGCTGTATATGTTTGTGTAGAGCACAATTCAGTAATGGTCCATAAAAACAAAGAACGGACTCATTAAGCAGTATTAAGGCTTTAGAGGCTCCATCCATGCATTCATAAATTAATTACAAGAGTGCTTTAATGAGCGGTTCGATTGTTACAGTAATAGGCATTTTTCCCTTTATCACTCGTGATCCTCTAATTTGGACGAGCAAAAAAAACAGATTAAGTTGTAGAATGTGATGCTCAACCAGAACATCAAGTCTTAACTCACAATCGACTCTGCTGAGGTTGTGAATAGTTAAATCTTCGTTCCTCTATGATCTATGAGGCCTGCAGGCTCCCCCACTCCAGCTCACGGGGCTTTGAGCATCAATGATTGGCTGGTGAAAATCAAGCTGCTCGCCGGCCAGTTTCCCCAATTAAGCTCCGGTGTTTACAACCCTATCAGAAAGAGACTCTAACTGGGAAATCTGGGCTGCACCTCCCTGGTATTCAGATGACTGCCAGGACCTGTTAACTTTCTGAGTTCAGTGAGATGTAAAGAGACTCTAGGAGCGCATGGAAGGCTGGGGATGGCTCACAACGCCGCTTTTCATCAGCTTCAGCCCGTCACTGGCTCTATTATGGTCAATCCTCTAGAGAGATGTGGAGGCATCAGTGGATAGCTACAGTGAGGAGAAGAGAAAAACAAGTATATTTATGGTGTTCGACTGTGTTTCGCGACACAAATCAACACATTTTCTGTCATCTGTGCAGCATTTTCAATCTTATCATTACTATGTGAGCAGAGGGTAAACATTGAAATTAGATTTTTCAAAGTGAATGTTGTATTTAGCCACGGGACTTGACTGGGCAGAGAGATTGAGCCTTAATGTATCAATGGATAAACTAATTATTTTTCATGAGTTTATAGTTTTGGATGTACCCTAGGTCACAAAGAAGTCATTGTATAATATGTTGAAAAAAGTGTAAAAAAGTCATAGTTATAAAAAGTTATGAAAACGTCATAGTATAACATGTCGAAAAATGTCATTAAAAAAGTCAAAGTATAGTATGTCAAAAAAAAGTCAGTGTGGCACGCCTGTCACGGTTCTGGGTTCTGTTTAGTTGTTTTTTCCGTTTTATTTTGACTTTCCCTGCCTCTTGTGTCCTGTGTTCTCTTCACTTCCTGTCTTTGTATGCCCCCCCCCCACGTGTGATTGTCTGCCCCACCCCTGATTGAATCCTCCGGTGTCTAATCACCTGCACTTCCCCAGTGTATTTAAACCCTGTGTCCCCTGTCAGTGTTGTTTTGTCTGTTGTGCCACCTGGTCTGCTGTGCTCTGTTCTGCCGTGATATGATCCTTCATGCTGTGTTCCCTGTGTTGCTCCTTGTCCTGTGTTTTAACAAGTATGTTTCCCTCATGTTTGTTTTTTGACCTCAAGGTGCCACTGAGACAGAACCAGCACATTCTGATGTAGCGTTTCAAAATCTCATTCGTGAGCTAACTTCAAATCACATTCATGATTTCACAAATTTCACAAATTTCTATTTATTACTCACAAAATGATAAATTATATTGTAAAATGAAACAAACTTGAATAACTAAATTTGAGTTCAGGCTACAAGTGAAACAAAGGGAGGACAGTGTAAATGTCTGTCATGTAAGAACTACAAACAGCCTTTTCTGCAGCAGACTGTGGCAGCGAAAACACAAATGAACCAGACAGTATAATCATGTTGTGTCTTTTCATTGGTGCATCCTGATACATTTGATCAGTTTTGAATTCAAAGCACTGCTTCCTAGTGAGCTGGTTAAAGGACGAGTTAGGCACAGTGTGCACCTGTGGCTATAGCAGAATGTGGAGTAAATGATAAAAACGTTAAAATAACAGGGAACTGAAGCTACTCGCAGTAGTTTCTGATACTTTCATACTCCCACATGCCTGGAAGAGAACCAAATCAAACTGCGAGCATTGTTTTCGTGACGCAGCTTTTCATGGGAAGTGTTTTGTTTCGATAAAGGCTGAACATGAGCTTATCTCTCTGACCTTTACTACACTACTCGTGCTGTGTTGCTCATTTATTTGTGTCTGACTCTAATATATTCACAAACCTCATGCATGCTCAGTATTTACCAAGTTGCTTCTGCTGACCAGACATTTGAATGGATAATTAATGGATAATTAGAACATGCAGTAATTAAACAATGAATCTCAAAAGTGCTGAATCAAGGTTTTGTGAGTATCTGTTTTTGCGATCAGTTCTGAGGCTGCTATAATGCATGTGTGTGTGGTTGCGCATAGTTTATATGCATGAGTTAAGATGCTCAAATCAATGGTATTTTTAATAATACCATATTGTCATATTATTAGAATTATTCAAGCTTGACTTATACCTGGTAGTCAGCTTAAAACCGGTGCACTCTTTCAACAGTCTCAAATTCATTCAACTTTGTTACATTTGACAACTTCAGCTCAGCCAAACAGACCCCATGACTGACCTGCTCGTCCTTCTAGCTGAGACCACGTGACCAAACACATGAGAGCGGCACAGGTTACCAAACAATGGTTTGTGAGCAAGTTACTTTTATAAGTGGAATCACTACCACATTGCATTGTGGGATATCTATGCCGGCTTCGTGTTGAGTGTTTGCGTACGGTAATATTTCACCGGAAATAGTATGCAGTTCACAAGCTATTGGTTTCATACTAAGGTTTCAGAAATACAAACAAATCTCTCAAACTGTTTTAGTGTCCTCAGCAGCATGTTGTAGCATGGATTTTCATTGTTACTTCCACCATGTTGTCCGATCCGTGACCAGGAAATATTGACTTCTTTTATCCACCCCTCAAATGCTCTTGCTGGAGCATTATCTGAAGGTTTTTGTAGTTGTTAATTTGTGATTGATTCATTTTCCTGTGACCAGTTATGCTAACCATTATACCTGCAGTCTGTCACTATCATGAATTTTAGTTGACAATTAATTGTCATACAAGTAATTGCGATTAACGATGCAATGGTCTACTTCCGTTCATTTTATGCCACACTTTGCAACTTGAGTACTAGACTGCCGATTAGAGGAAACACAAAGCCTGTGTTAACCGTTTTTGTTACAGCCTCCAGACCGTGATGGGCACAGGGGACAATTTGTTTTGTCTCCAGAGCCAGAGTTGATGCTCACTTTGGGGTTAGACGGCACATTCACAACAACTAGGCTACTTTAAAGCTAATGTCTTCTCTGCTCCAATCGCAGACACCTGCCTCTTCTGAGCGGAGCTCTCACTTAATCACACATTCGCTAAGCTTGTATATGCACTGAGCTATTCCTAAAAGGACCCACGGTACTCTATTAACATATTGTTTTCATCGAAATGTTTCATGTGAATTGTCTAATTAGAGAAGCTGGATGGAAGCGACAGCTCCATCTTAACTTTCCCCAGAGCTGTCAAACACCCCGCCGCACCTGTATGAGCAGAAACACAGTAATCTGTCCAACAGCAGATCGAGACAGCCAAGCTCTCTTTATCCATATTTTGTTTTCCCTGACGTCGGAACCTTGTGCTCAGGTATACACTTTACCTACCCTGCGGATGAAAACAAACCTAATACACTTTTTTTTATTGCTGCCACATTTGTAAACTTATTAAATTCCTTCGATTGTGGAATCTAATGCTGTTCCAAACTAAACACACTTCCTTCACTGCTACTCAGCCAATAGATGTTATTCATATACGTAATTACAATTTTAAAAGCACCTTTTCGAAGATGAAAATGTAAACGTTTGTAGAATGAATATTTAACCGGTATGTTGTCTTCAGAAGTGTTTCCATGTCCATGCAGGTCTGCTTTGTCTCTGTGTGAAAGCATAAATTAGAGGACCTGGAGCCACACTGGCAGGCACACCTTTATGACTGCACTCTCACTCTTCACTTGTAACTGCTGCCGGCCTTACTTCAATTTTTAATGGCTTCCAATTAGAGGTGAAGAAACTTTGAAAAGTTTATGACATGGAGTCAGTTGGCTCTAGGTACTTCATTATTTCATAGGAGTAAAAAGGGGAAGTAGTTGCAGTAAGATTTCTTTTATATAAAACTTTACTCTAAAAGTGAAAAAAATGAACTCTTCATGCAAAGATGTTGTACGTGGATGTTGAAGGCTTTCATCAACAGTTCACCAAAAATTGCACGTATAACATCATTTTGTTTTTACAGAGAAGCAGTACAGAGCACCCTGACAGAAAACACTACAAACTGGCCTGGGATGTACACGGCCAAGGGCAAGAGGGCTCTACAGCGGGAGATTTAAACCACCCAGGACATCATTGGTACCCATCTATCGAACATCAGTGATATTGATGACAAGAGGTGCCTGCGAAGAACCCAAAGGACATTATAAGATGTAACCCACCCCAGCAACAGCCTGTTCACCCTGCTGCCATCTGACAAGATATGCAGAACTAAAAGCTGCCGTACAACCAGACTGCAGAGCACGGCCTTTCCTATTTCCTATTTTTTCTGTGCATTTCTTTTATGTAGAAAAATGTTACTATAAAATGCATTTTGTTGCACAACCCTGTTTTACAATTAGAATAAATCCCCATGTAACCTTTTATGTAATTAACACACTAAAATATAAAAAAAGAAACACCAAATCAGACGATTTGAATATTTTATTAATATGTAGAAAATGTAATAAAAAAGGAACTATATAGTACATGTTTAAGTCAAACTAGAGCTAAATTTGACAGTAATATCCAAGATTATCCAACAATAAATCCTTAGTTTCAGCATAATGAGCTTCTCAAACAGTCGAGATTTTGTCAACATTTATATTTCATGGCAAGATTTCAAATCAATGCAGTTTCAGTGTCTGGCTTGTATAAGAGATATTACCATACAGGGCGGTCGTATCAGTTCATTCAACATGTAAAAGTAAACCCATGAAACAAAGCATTTTCAGTTTGATATCATAGAGGACCATGTGTCATTAATTACTGTATTTTTACCACAATGATGCATCAGTCAGTGTAATTGAAAAAATAAGACGAACAAGTTTCCTGTAAGGAGCTCAGCAGAAATAAATAGTAATACAGTGTGAGTGTATTCTAGTGACGGACGGAGTTTTAATTTAAAAAGATTTAGGAGATTCTCTTTTCATCCCTCCCAAAAGATTTAAAATAAGACTTTGGTAGCTTGCCATAAGGAAAACAAACTACTTGATTTATGTTAATGACCCTGGCATCATAATACCAAATCACAAGTCAGGCTCTTTTAACATTGTCATATCAAACATGTTATTACCATGTTATTACCATGACAAGATGGGCAGGATTTGTTGTCCTGAAAGTTTTTTCTTTTTCAAACAAATGGAAAAAGAATAAAAAATATCCACAGTAATGCAACTTGAAACAAACAATTTGTTTTTGTGGTTTTCACATTGAAACTTAAGCTGATGAATGAGTAAAGGAACAAATTATAATAAGAGCATCTTATAGTTTGCCATGAGAGAAATCTCTTACAATACAAACAACATTCTGTTTCTTTTCTGCAAAGCTTCGTGACCTTTGACCATCGTACAAAGATGCACCGAGGCAAACTTCATCTAAATAGTTAATGAAATAAGTACTTGGAGAATTCCCTATTCTACTATAAATCACTGTGGGAGGTGGATCGCATGAGAGGCTCTGAAACAGTCACTTTGACGGTGAACCATGAATCAGACCTGGGAAAGGTCACATGTTGAAACCGTTTTCTTATAGATTATATTTTAACTTTTGCCCATGTGGGCAATTTCACTGTTTGCACAAGAGCTTAGAGTCCTGATGAATCTATACCATCTACATCTTCTACCGTACAAACTATCTCAAGACAACCGCTTACCCAGATCAGCAAAGAAATATGTCACAAACACATTCTTATGACATTTGTTATTTACTATCAGACTCTTGATTGCAATTTAGTCAACATGCGGTGGGCTCCATTCATCTTTAACATAACAATGGTTAAAAGTACAGCGGTTAAAAGGGAAATGTTTCAGAAGGCCATCTGAATTAGTTTGCATCTAAAGGGGGAACACATTAAAAGTCACATTATCTTCAGCTCTATATCTACGTGAGTATATTAGTAGTTTATAGAGGGGAAAGTCACCAAAAAACAAATGAAAAATATACACAGGACACAAGCCAGATGTTCTGGTTTGCTTCAATAAGAGAACTGAAACGAAGAAACAGACGAAGGCTACTTAAGAATGAGATTTCCAGCTGTTAATATTTGGATTATTGAACATATATCTGAGAACAATTGTCTCTTGCAGCGATGGTGACATTGATTGTATTGGACAACACATGTTCGTTATTGATAGTATGTAGCCAGAGAGGAGATTTTTTACAAGTTATGTGTTTTAGTCTTCAAACATTTTCCAGAAAAACAGCAGTCAACTAAACGCACCGAAGGCTTTGTGTGACAATGTGAACACTGAAGGGAACAAAATGCTCGGTGGGTCTGCTGCAGATTACGCCCACCCTACTAGAAGAAGACATTCTCTGCCACACTTGCTGATCGTGTTGTTTCACTGGGGAGCTTAAATAGCGAAGTAACTTAGAAGAAGGGCACAGAAGGAGAAACTTGGCTCCACTCCACTCTCTGTTATCCTTTGTTAAGTTCATTTGAGCTGTAGCAGTGGGAGAGAGGCCAGGCTAAAATCTATGCACTATGCCCCCCCTGACTTTCTTTTGCATAGAAGGCAGTGTTCACATTGCATAAAATGCCGAGGGACATGAATACCATAAAAGTCCCTTAAAAGTGAGAATCTATTAATACAGGAAGAAGCTGCTTCAGTGGCTTTGGTGACAAAACAAACTGGCATCTTTCCAAACAGCAGAGTCTTTATTATGCAGATCTTTGGTCACAGCTGCGGTACGCAAGGAATTTTAGGCATCATTGGGAAAGAATTCCACAATAACCTTTAACATAGTGTCTGAGAGGAAACTAGCCTTCTGCACCTCCTCCCGAATCCAGCCCATAAGGGCACACTTTGACCAACCACAGGTCTCAGGTTTCAGATAGAGGTTGTATCCTATTGGCTGTTCTACAAATGCAGATGTGTGGCTGCACCGCCCTCCGGTGAAAGCCTGATTCAAAAGCGGGATATCCTGCAGCAAAAGGTGCTCTTCAAACATTGGCAACAACCTACACTACAAAGCAACCCCCCAAGAAAAGGAAGACGGACTTTTCAAAAAGAGAGACAGTATTAGGGGAAGCGTTTTAGAGATGGAGAGAAAACATTGTGAATAGCTTCACGGCTACTGTAGCTACGGTTAGCAGAACGCTTAACTAGTAACATTGTCTCTCCCATCCCTGAAATGCTTTGCTGATATTGTCGCTTTCTAATGCCTTGAATCACAGTAAAATCATCTCAAAGGGCTTTACAGGCCCAAAAGATTGCAAAGAAAACAGGACCGGAATTCTTATAGAGTTGCCGCTATTCAACGGTTTAGGACAAAGAGGGGAGAGCTGCAGGGTGAGGGTGGTATCTTCCATCTTTCAGAAAACTCCCTTCCTTGGGGGTACTACTTGAATTACAATATGCTGAAAGGTTATCATGGAAGTTTGTTTTTACCAGTGATGCTCAAATGAAATTCCTCAGCTTCAAATGTTCCATCCATCTGCACCATCTCTGCAAGCAATCACAGCATCGACGACAGATATTAAAGTCGAGGAAACAATATCTAAATGCCCACGAACGCCTAAATAAATAATTGAATTGAGTGAACAAGAATAGCTTTGCTGTGTTCCCACTTGTAGTGCAAATTCTCTCAGTGTGGCTACCAATAATAATAGAGTTTAATATTAAATATTCATTCTGCTTTAATAATTAACACAAAGGGTACTGTATTCAACAGCAACACAGACGGAGAGAAATAAAACAAACAAATCGATGGTAATGAAACTGTTGCTGGTGCGCTGCTTGGTGAATGAGAATTCTGGATGTTCAGTTTAGTTTTTATTTATATTATTTTTTATCTCTAATGTCCAGTATTTGTCATCATGTTTTAGGATTACATTAACTTAATATAGGCTCAAACACCAATGCATCAAATCATGTTAAATAGATGATTCCTTTTGTCACAATATCAGCTATAAAAATATATATATATCTTACAGTTAAGGGTTTTAAGGGCATTTACAGTATATTTTTCGTTGAAAGTGGGTTTGTTTTCAAAATGGTTAAAATAATGTTAGCTCTCGCAGTCGTGAGCACATGTCCTCGCATCCTAGGGAAAGGCAAGTCACAGACTAAAAGAAAAGAAAAAGCTTCTTGGTTTGCCTTTCCTTTTTTTTTTTTTTTCTTTCTTTTTTTTTTTTACAGCAAATGGAACCATTGTCATTCAAAGTATTTCATAAATTACATACAGTGTCCTCTATCATCTGGGTAGAAGTACAGCAGGGGCAGACAGCTAAAGCCGGGCTGGAGCAGTGATAAACAGAGTTCGGACATTGTTTCGCCCTCTCTCATATTTCATGACCACATCAATGGTTAGAACAGTTCCTGCGTATTGGTAGTACATTAATAATGATGAGTTTTGCTTCTTTTTTTTTAATAACTACATATTAATAAAATATTAGTAGCTTTTTGTCATAACCCCACTTTTTTTTCTTTGCAGCCACACTAAAAGGCATGAAAGAGCACATCGGTGGTGCACACAGACAGCAGAAACATCAGTAAACATCGTCCGAACTCCATTTATCCATGACTCTGGGCTGGGTGGAGGTGGTTTGTTTATACAGGGGCAGACCGCCTCCTCTTGCTGCTGATGCTACGGAAGTTGAATGGCCTCATCTTCATCTCCACAAAAGGAATAGAGAATTCGTGGCCTTTCCAGTGGTACCAGTTGATACCCTGTAAGAGTGAAAAGTGTGGTTTTAGAAGCTGCTTGAACCAACAGGGTCACTTAAAGCAAGGCAAGGGCAGAAAAGACAGAAAATGTGAAAGAGACTGAAGATAGAAATGTTATATATTCAGTAAAGCGTATTTTAATTTCAACCGAGGGAAGCCGCTAAAAGCAGGAGGGCAAACATCCTGACTTAAGAGCTAGCACAATCATGAATTTAGTGTAATTATTGTCTCACTCCATCCTTTCTAATCCCCGTCGCTACCAAAATCTTCCCATTTGCAGCTTTACGCCAAGAGGCTATTTCTCTCCGCGAGTCATTATGCCTGTCCATCTCTGCTCCCACCTGGTCTCATTTCATGTCATCAAACGACAAAGAAGACGGTACAGAGAGCACAGAGAGCGAAGCGGCGAAGCTCCGAAGCCTCTGCAGTTCAGCCTAATCACAGCTCCGCACAACGCCTCGCTTTCTTTGTAGAGCCATTACGGCATGGGAGAGAGGCTGGGAGAGAGGCTGGGAGAGAGGCTGCATCACACACTCGTCAAAAGGACCGGACAAGCACTCACTCCCACCTCACACGTAGTGAGCAAAACAAACACCTGTCAGTGTGAGAATGGGATACCAGGATTATTTTTAATCAAACACAAGTGCATGTTGTTTCATATCTTGGCTCTGGCCTTTTCCTTCCACACGTTTCTGTAATTGGAATATGAACCCAGTGGTATGAGTGTTTGGATAAGAGTGTCATTCCCAACAGATGATAGAGGTGCTTTTTATCAGTCAAGACTGAGGTGCATCACCTCTCCAGGTTTGATTAAAATTGATAAAGTGGTGCAGCACTACCGGCCCTTTTCTTTTACCTTTCATTACAGCTTCTCCAACAGGCAAATCAGTGTAAGCATGGAGATGGATGTAGCCTTTCAAATCAGAATGTTTTAACCTTTAATCACACTGCCATAATTGAGCCAGTTTATGTGAATTTTTGTAAATGCCAAAATGCCACCCTGTTCAAGTTCACTGAGTAAAAAGGGTTCACCCAAATAAATGGTGTTTGAGGTTTTGAGACAACATCCGCGTTTCCTGCTGACTCACCAAAAACCATGGACGTAAATTTGTCGTTGAAAAATTGCATTGAAAAAAATGTAAATCAATGTGTCTTTCCAAAAACAGCGTCAACGTTACTTTGAATAATCCTCAGAAATGTGTGCCAGCAATTTTCATTGGACCTACTTTCTACCAATGAAGTAGTTCCTCCGAACACTTCAGCGTGAGGCGACATGGCCACACAGCTTTTGGAAAGACACATTGCTGTTGAATTTTGGGAATTTTTCAATCATGTGAACGCCACAGATTAATTACACCCTCACTGAAATTTAAGATACCAATATCTCACAACCTTGACAAATTGAAGCAAAAATATCTGCCGGGCCAGGAGGCTGACGGGCATAAATAAACCGCTGCCCCTATTGACTCTCTGCCCACTCTCTGTGCCTTGTTTACAGTGTAAGCATAAAACAAAGGTCTTAAAGACTGACTTTGACACAGGCACGTTCTTTGAGACCTGGCGATAACGTTTAGGTCCCAGATTCAGGACCACAATGAGTAGGAGTGGTCTTTTGTAATTTGGAAAAACAAACTTTTTATGCCGGCGACGGCCGGAGGTGTTATATTTTTGGCTAGTCTGTCCGTCCCCTGAACGCAATATCTCCAGAACTCGAGGAGGGAATTTCTTCAAATTTGGCAAAAATGTCCTCTTGAACTCAAGGTTGAACTGATTAGATTTCGGTGGTCAAATGTCAAAGGTCAAGCTCACTGTGACCTCACATCTACATTTTAATGAACTTAATATCTCAGGAACGCCTGGAGAGAATTTCATTCCATCTGATACAAACTTCCACTCAAGGAATTATACATATTCGACGGACATGAATGGAAACTGCTACTTGACTGGTTGGCGGAGGCATTCAACCGCGAGGTTATTTTAGTTTCTAGCTAGCACTATTTTATTTGTCACATTCACTCTTTGATCAACTTTTATATAGACGACTGACCTGACTGTGTCTGGACTCTCCGTATTTGCCGTTGAGGTTTGCCCGGTGGCAGTTCTTGTACCACCACGCTCCTTTGTAAGACGAGGCACAGTTAGTGACAGCGATGTCGTTATCTCTGTCTTTTGTGGAGAAGGGCCGGCCCTGGTGGTAGCTCAGAGAGTCACCTGAAATCAGAGGAGAGACAGATGCAGAACCTTAAACATCAGCATATGCCGGGACACATTTACATATGGCCGCGGTGAATAACGGCGTGATGGGGCGGACATAAACGGCCAGGCAGGGAATGGGACAGACATGGGAGGGAGGGAGAGGAAATACGTCCCGCTACAGGCTCTTTAGGCAGAGAACATTATAATTACAAACATGAGGGGATGACAGGTAATTCTGGCATATGGTCCTGTTGACAGACTGAGAGGACAAAATTGGAAATGTGGAGAAGCGCTGAGGCGGGTTTCAGACATCAGGGAGAAGATGGAGGGGAAGGGACAGCAAACAGTTTTCTATATTAAATCATATAGTGTAGTATTTATTGTAAATCATCCACGAAGCCAAGTAAAATACAAAACAATGATGTATGTTAACTTAAAAAACACCTTGTATTCAATGTAATGTATTTCACCACGTACCAGCGGTGCCATTGTACTCTCCTATCCTGAGCTTGTAGAGATTTCTTGCATCTCCGATGGAGAATTTGTCGTAGTTGGCGTAGACCGACTCTTGTCCGTCCTTCATATCAATTCTCAGCTCATAACGGCCCTGAGCAGCAATCCTCTGGATGTTGTCTAGACCTGTGGAGACACAACACACACATTATATTGCATTGTAGTCGATAACCAAAAGATATTAGTATAATAAATATGATATGGAAGACATTACACTCATATTGTGATTGACGAAAACTCCACTTCAACTTCAACTTTACCAATCACACATTTTGCTCAAAGGGCTTTACGATCTTCACAGCATTTAACACTTTCTATCCTTTGACCCTTGATTCAGATGAGGACAAACTCTAGACTATATAAAGTAAATAAAATACAAAAATGTGTAAGAACATTGACAGGAGTAGACGTAAAAACTTTACAAAAAGAATGTATTTCTGTGACTTAAAAGACATTCTAGCACCTGTACGTACACATAGACAGCTTTGCAGGTGCAGCTTTGCAGGTTAAAGGTTTGGATCCCGATAAGCACTATGTCGGACGTCTTTGTCAGCTAGTTGTATGGATGAGTATGACTGAAATTGTGGAGAGCAGTGGACACTGTCACCACCAGCCCTTCTGCAAATGCCACATCTTGCTGAGATAGGGGGCTTTGCTCTCTATCTCCGAGGCAGCAGATGTGAGGCTCGTTTGAACACCGGCGGGAGATAAGACCCCACACCGACCTGAGAGATTGGAACTGCCTTCACTCTCAGAATACAACAAGCACCCGTTTGGAAAGGAGTCTCTTTCCCTGCTTAACCTCCATCAGAAGCATCCCATGTACGAAAAGCCTAAACTGAACTACAAGTCTGCTGTAGTATACGTCAATGGAAAACAGATAAAAATCTACGTAACAACCCAAAGGCACTTAATGTGACAGGGGAAAAGCAATCGTTGTAATAAAATAGTATTTAACACTCAGTCATCTCTAATTACCGTTGTATAATATCACTGTATTACCAGCAATTAATCCTGCACCCATCATTTTTTTTACTTTCAGTTTTATGGGGTCGGACTGCTCTATTCCAAACTGCAGCGATTAAAAATGCATTTTTGACACACTATTGCACTCTAGTACTATTAAACTACCAATATTACCATCTAGTCACATTTTATTACCAGCCTTTCTCTCTCACTTACACAGAAGCAAGGGGGGGAGGGGGGGGGGGGGGGGAGAAGCAAAGAAAGTATGGGATTATGATCACATATTCACACACAGACTCCCTGGTTTCTCTCTCTTATTACATCATCAAACTGACATTGTGCTCAGCATGAAAACTGGCTGAGGTCAGTGAGCAGGGAGAATAGATTGCCCTTGAGCAGCACTAAAAATGGCCGTTTCCAAACTATAACACATAATAATGAAAGCTTAATTTCCATATTCTTTACTGCTGACCAGTCAAGTGCCTCTTCCTTTCAGTTTGAGTGGATTTAATGTCGATGTTTATGGTTCCATACTCTCCAATATATTACCGTTATGTGTGTGGAGGCAGCGATTAGCTAAATGTTCACTCTAATGGTTCTCCACGGGCTATGAACTAATCTGTAGAAAGAAGAGTGAAGGACAAATGGTCTCAAACTGCAGTCACCATCTGCAGTTTCTCTCAGGAAGACACATTTTAAGGACACTTCTTACACTGTAAATGCTTACATTGGAGAGCAAATACAGTGTGGTCACAGGACGAAACACAAAAAAACTGTACAAAGCGACACAGAAGTGTTTAATACACAGCCATCGGAAGTGCAGAGACATTCAAAACAGTGGTAGTATTTTAGAAAAAGTAACAACATATCCTAAATGTTTAGGGGTGTTATAACACAGACATGTCTGTGGATCATACATTTATTTTATTGTGCATGCCAGTATTCTGAAAGTTAGTTATTGTAGTTTGACCGCTTAACAGCACAGCAGTTGAAGTCCATGAGAGCAACTAAAGGTTGGTAATCTTGAGAAACTAGCAAGAGTCCGCTTAGAGTAGATATACAAACTACATCTTGATCTTTTATTTTGAAGTCACATTTGTCTTTGGAACTGTAGTCTTTATTATGAGGTAAACATAATTATTCACACAATTAATATCTAAGTTTTCTCTGAAACACATTTTGCAGCTATTAGTTATTTTAATTAACTGTCATCCCTTTTATCTATCATTTAATATTCATTCATTTATTTGTATCTATTATTGACAGACTGACTAAAACTGCCAATCACGTTCACTGAAAGGTTGCTTTTAATTTGAAGAAAGTTCTTACACGATCTTACTGTAATGCCTGGTGTATATATGTACCGCAAAACATTGTTGGGAGTAGACTGTAGAGAATGTCTTTTTCCAAGTGAAGGCTGGATTGACTGTAGTGTTCTGCACAGGGTGTGTTGTGGTGATGGAACAGATTCGTGGTACTGCTATCTTTAGCAACAATGGTTTTGAGACATATTTTGCAGAGGATTGTAGTCTCTTCCACATCTGCTCTCCTGAAAACAAACCACCTCCAGATGACAGACCTGCTGTTCTTTTTAGAATTAATTCTTTTGTGTTTGGCTCCTCTCTGGGACCGTTTGAATTGACGTGAACTCTGGACAATGATTTAAGTAAAACTGATGGATGTGGTGTCTGTCTGTGTGTGTCTATGAGAGGGAGAGTTGGTCTCCTGCATGTGAACATGGCCTGCTTTTAAAAAGCATAAAGAAATTACTGAAATGCGCAAGGAATATTTCCATATAATGATATGGTAATCTACCATATTGCACATAAAATGTAGATAACAATATCGGATAAATTCGATACATCACCCACTCCTACTTACAACTCCAGAACTTGCTTGACAATCATGTTTTTAAGTTTTCTTCAGTAACAAAGTAATCCAGTGATGACTGTCTGTATATCCATCGACGTGACTCAAACAGGAACTGCTAACAGCTTCTTTGGCATACCTTTAATGGTGCCTATTTCCCAAAATGTACGCAAATACAAGCTAAAACAACGGGGCGTAGAATAATAAGAGTGAGTAAACTTTTTCCAGGGTCCATTATCAGTATTCTTTGACAGCACTGAGACTCAGAGCGTGCTAGAAACACGTTTCTCCATGTAAACAGAAAACAGGTTGGCTAGTTGTCCAACAGTTTGTCACAGTGTTTCCAGTGGTCCAAAAACTCGCCAATACAAGCCGTCTTTAGAGGTGCTGACTTTTGTTGAAATGAAAGAAAAGAACTAGAGTTTTAATAGGAGTGAAGCTATTGTATTAGTTGTATTGCAAAAACATTTCTTCATGACTTTCCTTCACCTCCTTCAAATACTTTACAACCAGAAGGATGTCCCTATGTGAATAACCTTTTAACATCACCTTTTTTGTATTATTACAACCACTGGACCAACGGACTAACAGGACAGTTTCCTGCAGCAGGCTCGACATTTTGTGCCGTACTCTGAGGCTACCGGGTTCCCTGCTGGCGTGTTATCTGTAATCTGGCATCATGGGGAGAAGCTCTCACAGGAGCAAAGAGCAGCTTGTGATGCTCCGCACACCCCGAGGTTACATTAAGCTGGTTTTATGCACTGAGAGGACAGAGTACTGTAGGATAGAAGAAAGACGCGGGGTGAGTGCAACCTAGAAGGCACTAAAAAAAGTAAAACAAGACCCAAAAGATGGAAGGAGGTGCCCCCGACTAGTATACGTCAAGAAACAGTGAGAGGGCAGATTATTGCTGATTCAGCTGAAGTGGAAATGGGTCAGATGGAATGTTGTACTCGCTGAACCAGATATGCTTCGATGTTTTCAGATGTTATTATGCGGACAAAGCCGACATAGATCTGCAAGAAACGAGGCAAATCTGTGCGAGGATGCTGCTCCATGAGGCCTCCAGCTAAAACACTGCTGTCAGTCTGCAGCTCACTATGTCCATCCTTTATACGGTGTCGTGTGCACAGAGGAGGGATCTCTCTCCTGTAGGATGTGTGTAGTGTTATCGTACAAAGATGTTTGTCCAAGATATTTATCACACCTCCTGCGCTTCAGTGAGTAATTTCCCCCCACACTTGTTTGTTGACATAGGAAAGCTAATTATGAATGTATACCAGCAAAAAAAGCAATCCAACTTATTTCCTGCTGTGGTAAAATGTTAAGAGCTACCCTTGAACACCCTTCCCTGCGGTGCTGTACAAAGTACAAAGTAACAGGTCCAGCTGACATTCTTTCTCGATTCCACTCGACAACACTGCAAACTACTGCTTTAAAAATACCACCGAGGCAACAAATCTGACAGACTCAACTAGAATTGCAGGCTTTTGTAGCCGAATCCGTTTTTATTGGAGCTCCTGTTCATGAGAGGTTGGATCTAAAATCTCTTCATGCTTTCGCATATTACCGTGTGTTTAGTCACTAATGGACTAGAGCGTGCCACAGCTATCTTGTGTTACGATCCCATATGTGTCAGATGCAAAGTAACAGCCTCCGCTCTGTGATAATGTGGTGGTAATGCAATGGCATCATATTTCCCCCCGTGTTGTTATTTAATTTCTCTAATCAAAAGGTTCAAAAAAGCAGCCAGACAGGTTCTGATTCAGTTAATGGAATATTCATGTCATATTTTCCTTTAATCATCTGCACCAAAACAATAACACCAAAACTAGCCCATGAAGAAACACGACTCATTTTGCACATTTTCTAATGAATATAACTCTTTTTTTTCATAATGAGATTTTTCTGGAGGGAAAAGAGATATTCAGCAGTCCATCAAAACAGTGAGGATGTTCCGTTGTGTTGTCTTTGAATCAGAGCGACGCCAAAAACAATTACCAAGTCATTTCAGGGAGAGATGAACTTTCAGAGAATTCAGTAATGAATCGAATAGACTTTGTGAAGTCGAGTGCTGGACGATGAAATGAGCTAAAAGCACGCTTCTCCGTCTTAATAAAGAGTGAAAAATCGCACAAGAAAGGCTATACTGCCTGCACAAGATATTGGAAACACATAAAAAAGATGCATCAATTGAAACCAAGTGAAAGCTATGAGCCTCGATTGATTGTGTCCATTAAATCAACTTCAGTCATGGAGACGGTGCATATAGGTAAAGAGGGTGAAACAGCCTTCACAAAACTGAACAAATTGGGTAGCATATTGCAGCTTAATATCTGCCTGCAGCCCATGAAATGCAGCTGAAATATGTTGGGCAGGGTGACAAGAAGTAGGAATAAGGAAGCAAACCTGACCTTACATGTGAATTGTCTAATACGCCTACATGTTAATCGGTATCATATCAGAAACTACTCCTCAATTGCTGTCTTGAAAGAGGACAGATGTTTATCTTAACCTACAAGTATTCTTACAACTACAGAAGCTGTTGTTGTATCAGACATCAATAACTGGACATGGTGATGGACTTGGTCAAGATGCTTGTATTTTAAACTACGGTACACTCTACACATTGTATTCTCTTAATTAACTCAGATTAAGTCTGATTAAGTCTGATTAAGTCTTACCAAGCCAGAATTCATCCTCCAGGTTTCCAAAGCCGACCCGATAGTCACTCCACTTCCTGGAAAAGTCTGTGAGGCCGTTCTGACGACGCTGAAATACCTGGACACCAAAATATGACGACGTGACAAGATCAGAAAAATACAACTCGGTTGTTGATTAAAATAGCTGAGAAAAACTCAGTACTATGATCACAAGGACATTCAGTATTGTATGTGGCCCTTTCTTTAACCTAATTGACAGAGTTCATTTTTTAACAAAAGTGCTAATAAAAGAAAGAAAGCATTATCTTCACAGTGACTTACAATCCAGCCTCCTTCATCGGTGGTCATGTCGCAGTACACCTGCACACCCTGGCTCAGGTCTCTGCTGATGTAAATGGTGTAGACGCCGCCCAGCGTCTCTCCGTTCAGCAGGTGTTGGGCACAATTCTGAGGTGTCGCAAACAGACGGCTCCCTGGAGAGAAGAAGAAGAAGAGGTTTGAGGACAAATTATGATTTACTTGTTTTTGTCCATAGTTTGACTTCAATAATTAAGCTTGTAGAGATTTCTGGATAGAATTTGAAATGATGTGGCCTTAGGCAACATTCAGGATGTCTTTTTTTTTTTGTTCTTGAAACTGCAGTAATCTATGTTGAAATATCAATATGCCGATGTGTAATGTAAAATTACGGGTCCATGTAGTGATGGACCCGCACCTTTCAATTACTAACTAACTTATCTTAAATCACATTTCACTCAACAATTCATCAGCGCTGTCTGTCTGTACAGTGGGGGGGGGGGGGGGGGGGGGGGGTGGAGGGCCGGACTAGCGGACACTCGTGCCACAGCTGTTGAAATGATTGGTTGTGGAAATCAAAGATAACATGAAATAGCATTAAATATTTGCAGAACATAGCGTCAACAGTTTTTAATAATATTTTCTAATACTTCTAATACTATAGAATCCAGAGGGACCACCTCACCCACAAGCCCCTTGATTTCTGTGTCCGACAATTCCTTTTCTTGGTCTTCCTCTCAGTAGTTTCCCCTCGTGATTACTTGTTAACAACCATTGATCAACAGGTCCATTTCATGCTTCAGCATTTATGAGGTGCTTTGCATTGACCATTTAAAGTTGAATGTTGGGGCGAGGTGGATCCATGTGAGCACATTTCCTAGTTGATTTTTGGATTCATAAAATCCTTTGCACTGTTTTATAAATGAGACCCCAGGTGATTAGCATCTTCACGACGCTTTCTAACCCTTATTTGAGTGACATATCCTGCATCTAATTACACACTGAAGATTAGAGCACCCTGTTCAGCTCTAGGTTTGTAGACAGCGACCCTGCAGGTACAGCCTAATGAGAAGTCTCCCCCACTATGCAACAGGGAAGGGAGATGAAAATTGTGTCAGACTTTGCGGACCCATTATTGTGCACCTTTGTTATGGTGACAGTAATGTGAAACACGAGAAAAAAAATCCAGGATAAGAAAACTCATCCCATAAGAATCTCTTTCCAAACTTAAATCAAAGAATACCAATACATTGTGTGTGTGTGTGTGTCATTGTGAGTGAATGTCTGTGTACGGTACCTGTAGTGAAGGTAGTGGAGACTACAGCGCTGGTGTCAAGTCCTCTTGCAGCCTGGAGATTGACAGTGTACTCTGTGTTCTCTGCCAGTCCCTCTAGTCGGATCCATGTGTCCTCTGCATCCAGGATCAGCTCCTAGAACACACACGTGAACAAATTCACACACACATACAAGTTCAAAGATATTAAGATTAAGAAATTGCCCTCCATAAAAATCAATACTTGAATGTGTATTCAGCATAAACCTCAGGGTAAAAAACACATTATGTTAGAATCCCCACCAGTCACTGATACAACGTTGAGTTGAGCTTGTGAGTTTTAAAAAGACCTTCAAGCTATTTTTGTTCAGGAAAAGCACGACAGCTGGCTTTGTGTTCCAGTAGCACAACATTACATCAAACTGGCAACAACTGAGGTTGATATAGAGGGACTGAAAAAAAGGATATTCGATTCATTTAAAAACCGTATTGGTGAAGTAGTAGAATATGAAATATACTGCAACTGGCCTCATCAACAAGACAGTGATGCTCATCCCCTCCCATAGACACTGCATGTTACATTGACGTCTTCACAGCTGTCTGGACGCATTATCACACATCTTTGAGACTGCGTCTCTGTACGTTGCATATTCCCACAGTGAACCTCTCCACATTCCTTGGACAATTTTGCAAATATCTGCACAAATCTACCACTTCTAAATACTGCACAGTTCATTGATTTAAACTCAGATATATTGCAAATATTTCTATAATTTTTGTTCCTGTTTTTTTCTAATTCTACCTCTATTCTATATTTATATTTCTTGATTTTTGCAATACCTGCTGTTATTTTTAACTGCATCTTCTCTTACTATGTTCATGTTATACACCAGTACACCAAAGCCAATTCCCTGTTTGTGAAAACCTATATTTTCAACATTAATCTGCTGTTTGAACACACAATGAAGAACTTTTGTATATCTTCTATGTAACTGATGGGCTTTTGTATTGTAAAAACTGTGGTGTTTTGTACTGCTGTGTGTGTTTGGCATGACGCAGAAATAACAATCAACTAAGCCGTAAGAGTTACTCTTCCAACATCTGCAGAGCAAGTGTGGCTGCCTCCACAGATGACTAGAGCCATAGAAAAACACAGAAGGGGAGGACAAGTGGGGCCAACTAGACAGGGGATACAAGATAAAAGACTCTTATCCGACAGGCAAGCTGAGAAGCTGCTCAGCAAACAGGAAACAAATATTTCTATTTGTGGTTAAGGAGTCACGACGGTACAGTCGAGTTACTTCCCTTTGCTTTTTCCCAATCGCCTTTCACTGAGCCTGTCTTGGGGAGCCAAACGTTTGACCGAGTATTCTCTGCGACATCAGTTTTTTAGATGAGACATAAATCCACAGGCAGAATGCTCAATTGATGAACAGAGACTTGTCTATTCGTGTGTTTGTGTGCATGTGTGTGTTACACTTTGCCCTGGATACACATTAAATATGAACAAGTAAAAATGAAATATTCAGCCAGTTTGGGAAAAGAAACCACCCATATCTAGGCAATGTGTCTATGTGAATTATGCAGGGCAGCAGCTGGTAAATGGTGTCTCTCTGTCTCAGAGGATCTGACATATTCCCACCAGGTTTTCAGGGTCAAGATAAGATTTATATTGCAAGCGAAATGGCCTCGTTTTATAATACATATACCAATATACGCTTGCTATTGATTGTGTATGTGAGGGTGAGTGGTTGGACGTTTGGTGGATGTGTATTTATCCTTGTGTGTTTGAAGGGGGAGATCTTTGTTACTCCAGGCACGAACAAAACCAACGGTGATACATGCATTTACAAACTGGTAAGTACATGTTAATCAGATAAGAAATGATCTCAAAGCTACTGTGTGTAAATGACAAAAGTCCATTATCTCTGTAGGAGCTGGCTGAACAGCTGCGAGGCTCACCAATATGTGGTTAGATTAGAGCCGAGGTAACGCTGCTGCATGTTTTTCACCTACGCCAGACCTCAAGTGAAGACGACCGGAGGAGTTTCTCACAATGAGTACTTCAAACTTCCGCCACGGCAATCATTTTTGCTCTAAGCATTAATGAGGGATGTGACTCATTACTTGTTGAACAACATGAATTCAAAATGTGCACTTGTTGAGGCAGCTCACAGTAATGAACAGAGATTTGAATAAAATATAAAAGGAACATGCTCAAAGAGAAATTTATTGATTTTCAATTGATTGACAATTCGTTTAAATTGGATTTGCAAGATCTTCCAGATTTCAACGCATGAATTTAATAGGAAACTACTGTATGCAATTGGCAACAAAAAACTTCATTAAAAGCAGTGAACTGACATCACAATTAGTTTTGCTTCCAAAAAAGTCAACGCAATCTTGAAACTCATTGTTAATATTTTTTTATTATAAAAAGAAGAAGAAAAATCTTTGTATGTATGTATGTATCAAAAAGGTTCCTTTTCCTCTCAGTCACTGAAGGAGAAGACGCAACATGAGCACACTTTGGCGGGAAACCGTTGCTACTAGCTGTGAGCTAACGGTATTTTTGTTTGCAGTGGTAGTGAAGAGTCAGGACAACGCCAACATCTTAACAGACGGATATTACATCTGAGGAACTGATTAGCTCTCAAGCTTGCAAACTGATGCTAAAAGTGCACATTTCTCTGATGGACGTTTGTTTGGTCGCTCATTCAGCAACCAAAGACATGTGTCCTTGTTTGCTAGTTAGAGTGTTAAGCTAAATGTATTTGTAAGTTTGATAGGAAGGGTACATTAGCAAGAAAGTGTTGACGCTCAAAGCCTGTGGCTCTCGTTTTGTGTAGAATGCTGCCGTTTGGTCACTAGTCAGTATGACCATCTGCCTATGATGGAAGAGTGGAGTTACTGCTCTGTGCAGATATGGTTTTAAATGAATTTGATTAGCTGTATGAAAACAACATTTTTTGGGGAATTCTAAAAAAGGGAGCACCTAATGAAACCAAACAGTATTGAATACAAATGTCTCCCTGCTGGGCACTGATTGCACATGCATTATGCAGATATGTATGTTGTAGGAGAAAAATAATTGTGAAAAGATAATTTCTGTTTGACTTAACATGTAAATGTATGCAGAGTCATGGAAATGTCACATCAAATGTTAATTTAGTGTTACCCCTACGTAAATGCCATAATATTTCTAGACAAATGTTTCTTTAGAAAACAAACCATTTTTTTGGGGAAAAGGATGAAAAGGTAGAACATGGGATCAACATGAAGACTGTGAATATATTTAAGAACAAATGCTGATGGAAGTCTGTATCGATTGGAAACAAGTGAAATTGAAAAAAAAGGGACGATATGACATGTTACCGTTGCATTCTCTGTGCATGAGTGACACCCGATGGTCAACCACACAGCAGATTGTGTGTGTGTGTGTGTGTGTGTGTGAGAGCTGCACATACAGTAGATGCGAGCGTGTTTCATGACCGTTCTTTTATTAAATCCTGACACTACGGTGGCCCTTGGCATTAAGGGATACAGTCTGTGTGCATTTAGTTACATGCGTGCGCTTATGTGTAAGACACGGGATTGCCAATAAAAAGGAGTCTATTGCAGAGCATCATGGGAAATGGTTATAGTCAATTCGTTAACGGCATGGCGCGTGCCTTATTGCCATTACTCAGCCACATCAAAAAGTTTAATCAAAATAAACAATGTCTCTCCTGAGACACATTAAAGTAATATCTCTATTAGACAGGCAATTGGACTGCCTAGTTCCCTTGTGTGTGCGTGTTTTTCAATCTGTGGGTTTGTGTGTCCCAAAATGCTTGCACGCTCCACATCAACATGATTGAAAGACAAAACTTGGATTTTTGAAGTGTTTGTCATAAAGTTGTGATTCCGCATTCATTTTCTTTTCCTGAACAACGTTCAACTCTATTATAATAAGTTGATTGAATTGGGAACATTTTCTCTTTTTTTGCAGAAATCCAAAAAGAGGTTTCAAATATGTGCTTCAATATCTGCAGAATTCGGTTTCTCTTTTCAGGTGTGTGGATTAACAAAAGTACAGCTTACCTCCCTGACACATGTTGGTTAGCATGCATTTTTTTAACAGGATTTGAATAAGATGGAGAGTAGATAAGGAAACACAGACATTTTTTCTATAATGGAAATACCGTGTATAGGATATCAACAGTATGTGTGTCAGTGTGTACAAGACAGAGTTGAGACACGAGAGTTCAGCTATGTGCGCTACATACTTTACGGCTGCCGTCAAGTGTCTTGTAGGTGAGCATGTAGTTGTCAATTTCCGCGATTGGCGGCTGCCAGGAGATGAGAGCGCTGCGGTGATTCACTTCACTGGCTGTCAGGTTCAGGGGCGCGTCCATGGCTGCCAGAACAAGAGAAAAACATAAACTTATTGTAAAACATGGAATGTTTCCGACATACTGTAGTTCTCAAATAATGACTGAGGTGTCGAGTCCTCCGCCCAGATTTGCGAAACAGGATCGTTGTTATTCATACTCATTGTTTCAGCTTATTATAGGTATTCCACAGGGTAGGGTAAAATCTCCACGTCAGTAATCCTTAATCCCCACAGGACTGAGTGAGAGGAGCAGTGCAACACTTTTCCATGTTTAGTCACAGTGTATGACAGCACGCAACAGCATTCGAGCCCTTGATCAGCAAGCCCACCCAAGTTTTACCGCACATTACATCACACCATCCGAGTATATTCTTAGTTCCTGCACAGCCTTAAACAAGGCTTGATTACAGTGCCTGCCTTGATACCTTAACCACATCACAAGGAGAGTCACCTCCATTTCCCCACCTTACATCACCCCTTTTTCGAGTCAATATCTGATCTTCCGACATGGTAGCAGAAGCATTGACATGCGGTAACCTCATTTTAGTGCATAATAGAAAATAGATGACCTTCTATTCGAGAACATCAGTTTCCTGGAGTTACATCATGACATCGTCAGCTAGTCACCAACAGCGCTCCGAGTAAGGGAGGCAGAAACAAATGAATTGCTTTGTGTGCGGTGCAATCCGACGTCACCACTGTGAATATGAGATAAGGATATTTACTGCATGGCTGTCGCTTTCTGTGATTCTTTTTCTCCCATTTTTCCTCTTTCTTCTGTGTTGAAAGTAACACTGGACTTCTGTAAACAGCGTGCACTTTTAACTTCTCCCCGGGACTTCTCCTTAACTTTTAGCTAAACATCTGACCCTAAATTGAACCCAGACCTCACACACTCCTGTCTGCTGCATACACACAAAAGCCTTTTTGTTTTTTTTACCACAAACACACACGCCCTTCTCGTTTAAATCCTTATCTGTGTGCACATATGGTAAGATCAATGACGGCTCAGTAATTAATAGCATGTGCCCGCCTTGATAACCTGCTGAAAGAGGCGGTGGGCCTTCCCTTGGAGACAGTGATAGGCAGATCCACATTGTGTGACGGGGATTTAGAGAGAACGACACAAAGAGAGCGGGAGGGAAACAAAAGGGAACATGAGAGTTTTTAAGAGCCAGAGGCTGAATAGTGTGCTTTGAGATGAACTCAGCAGATTGTGCTAAAGTCCGCAATGATGTGCCGTTCTCCTCCCTTCCTGCACCTTCACGTCTTTATTGACTGCGTCTGCATCTCATTTCTGCTTTCCCTCCTCCTCCTCCTCTTTTGTCTGTTTCCTCCTATTCCCACATCAAACTGGCATCTTCCTCTCATTCACTCTCCTCACTATCTCTATTTGTGCTTGTGTTTATCTCTCTCTCTCTCTCTCTTTCTCTCTCTGCTCCTCTGGCCTTCCCATTCTTTGTCCACCACCTTTTTTTTCCTGCTTATCTGACAGGCTGCCATTTTAACTCAATGTGCCACAGAATGAGCGGAGTTTATCTTTTTGTTCCCGTCTTCCCCTTGATGGACACTGTTGCTGCATTATGTGCGCGTCGAGGGATAGATGAGAGCAGGTAGAGGCGGGAGGGGCGTTTCATAGAAATGGACGGCCTGCCTATATTCTGTCTTTCTCTTCATTCACCAATTAAATCTGTCTCCTTGTCTTGCTCTCGATCACGCTCTTCCCTCCAATTAAACCTTTGCATGGAGTGTGACCAAGCAGGTGAGCAGGCGTCGTCTGAGTTGCTGGCAGCTCTGAAGCTCCGTCTCCAGACGTGGCGGTTTGAACAATGGGATTGAGATGAATAGGTTTGGCTTCATCTAGTGTCTCATTAACACACAGTGTGTACACAATACAAAAGGGAAAAAAATAAAAGGCACACAGAGCAGCAGATGGGAAGGGCAGCAGTAATATGTTGTAGGAAGATAAGAGAGGAAAATTATTTCCTTTTCACATCTCACATTTTACATATGCCAATTTGTAAGTGAATGATTCTGCCTGAATGATGTAAATGTAACTTCTCTCAATATATGAAGTCTCCCGAATGACCAAATGATTCATCTCACAGATGATATTATGATGTCACACCGTGTTTTTATCTTTTAGAAGAGCCATAGTCATTAGCATCATGGACAATATCAAAGAGCCATACGTGCATGTGAGTGCAGGTTGTGGCCGCCGCTCTGCACTGCGTTAATACAGCTGATAACGCCGTCCCTAGCGACTGCGTCATCACGGAAGAAAAGCACCCACCCTCCAGCCGCCCCTCAGGTAAACACTGTTAGCTCCGTCAGCACTGTTGTGCCGTTGTTTGTACCGTTAGCGACGTTAGCTGCAAGCCGCCAACTCGCCGTCCCCATGTTGAGGCAATAGATGTGCTCTGGATTTAGAATTTAGCTTCACACTTCTGCATCTGAGATCACTTCAGCCCACAAGGTACAGACAAGTAGGAGCAGAAAATAGATTAGATTAGATTAGATAGGTACTTTATTAATACCACAAGGGGACATTTTTTTTTTACTACAGCAGCATTTATAGGTACGAAGAAGTTTTCTTCTTTTGCAATCGCTGTCACCTTCTTAATGAAGTTATGATAAGCTGAGTTTAGGAACAAAGAAGACACCTCCATGTTTTACAATTTCCTATCGATCTGCATATTCTGCATACTTTCTTTATTATCTCTCACCTGGGGTGAGATAAGAGAAGATGCCTCATTGAGGCGGTAACTAAACCTCTGACATCCCTCAGCAGCATCACTACTGCTGCTAGAAAATGTTATTATATTTCAGTACAGTTACTTTTCCTGCTGTCCAAATATTGCACAAAGACTGTAAATTCTGGCTTCGGGGAACTCAGTAAACCTTCTTGTCTTTCACATCGTTTGCAACAAAACTTCCAGACTCACTTTGAAATTACAAGTTTAGATTCAACACTCAGATGCTGAATTCTACGTCATGTCACAGATGCTTTACAATAATGGCTTTCAAAAGTATTAGTCATTATTTTTGCTTGATCAATTCTCCACAAGATCAAATTTGGAGATTTATGATGGATGCCTTATCAGAATCTTTTTATTTAAGGTTATTTGTTTTTTCAGACTGACAGAGTTTATTACAAAAGACAACCTTTATGTATTTATAGGCAAGGTTCTAACATATGTACAATAAGCCATTCTTATGGTGATAAGGTTGAGACGAAATCACACTTCTCAGGCTCAGGTCAAGAAAAGATTTTTCACATCTGATGAAATAAATTACAGTATACAAACACAAATATTAATAGTACAAATGCTACTTTTAAATTATATATACGACAACATTTTGAAACAGTTCTAAAGTATTTTACATTAAAATAATTATAAAAGTTCTTAAAAGTACATTAAACTGTCAGAAATGCCTTAATTGCCTGAATAATCAAGATTACATTTCTGTAATAGAGGTACTCCCACTACTAGGTGAACAACGATTAGCCATAACTCACTGAAGCTGCCCGCATCAAGGATTTCTGCCGCTTCAAAAACTTGCCAAGCACTTTCCAGCAAGTGGGCTCAGACACATCTGAGGGGAAAAGAGTCCCGGTGCTGCAGCCTACAGGCTTATGGAGACACCCGTAGCAAAATCCCGTATTTTATGGTCTTATAGCTTAAACATCAGCTGATGGAGAGCCAAGCAGTTTTACTCTGTGTTGAACTCTCGAGGCATGGAGGCCAGACAGCAAAACAACTCTCAGAGTGGTTAAGAGGCTTGGGAATCTAAAGAAACTCCACCCTAAAAAAAAAAGCAGTCTTGGCTACATTTGTATATGAAGCCATTGCTTTCCCCCTTTCTCTTCTCTCTTTGTGCTGTGGAAAGGCCATCCTGACAGCAAAGCATATGGAAAGCCCTTCTAACATGAAATCAGTAGGATAGACTAGTAGTAGTAGTTGATTATTACTATTTTGTACTATTAATACTACAATTGTATTTAAGTTATCTGGAATTAAATTCTTACTAGTTACAATTCCAAGCTGCCATATCAATAATTTCCACTAGTATGAAAATATCCATTATGGAAATGTAGACTTGGAATTCCAACTAGTCAAAACGCAATTGTTAATATCTGCAATTTATATCACTGCTAATTCAAACGGCCCAGCAAGAACCTTCACCTCTTTTACATCACACCTTTGCATCCGCACAGCTGCTGTACACAAAAACATGGAGACATCTTCCTACACATAGTAATCTGCTCTATGGAACATTTTGTCTTTTAACCAAATATGTCAAACCTTAACATCAGTCTCAACAACACTAAACTACCAAGAAGAACTGAAAGCTTATCTTAAAATCCCCATCCCTCCCCATGAGTGGAGCTGGAACAGGCTTTAAGATTTCAATTAGGAAGTTTAATTAACAACACGAGAAGTTCCCTGTGATGTTGGCGTTGACTAAGGCGCCCCCTGGTGAGACATGTCATCATCAGCCCTGCAAAAGGGAAAACTACTGGTGTGTGTTGGTGTCCGTACACTGAACCTTTAAACATGAAAGTGGACTAGAAGACTGACACTTTTAATCCAAACAGTGTTAGTAGTTTGATATTTGCCCAAGAGTAGCACTTGATTAAACTCAGGGATTATTCCTCATTGTGACTTTATTGAATTTTAGTCCCTTAATGTAAATTTGCATGGCATGTTCCACTATGTCAGTATGTATAAAATAATGTACACATTGCTTCTGTGATTGCAGGATATATTTTAATAACATTGGTACACCTCTGAATGAGCTGCTGCAGATTTCCCTTCCTCTTGTAGGGAAGAATTCTATCTAATTGTGTCTTTTCTACCCAATCACATTTCCTCTAAAATGGAGAATAAATTGAGTCTATCTGACAGAGAGGAGGAGAGCAGAAAGTCAAGCACCCGACTGTTTGCTTGATTCAATAAGACATGGTATTTAAAACTCTTTGTTCGCTCCATGGTGCCTCCTACCTCACAGCAACGTCTTAAATTCCTTTCTAAGTGAGAGTCTAGCCGGGGTAGAAATGCATGTTGTTTTTGTTCTCTGGAGAAGCTGAGGTACATAACGCACTAGGCAGAGCATCTGTTTTCCAAATTAGAATCACCTTAAACTGCCAAGAACATTTGTTTATGTATGAGTTACTATATGCATGTACAGCATTGACATGGTTGTAGGTACACCAAACGTTCCCGAGCCCCATTTATGTTTTGAAGTCTCTGCAGCCCTGCTCTCATACGTTGTCAGAGTTTGTTTCTGTCTCTGCTGCAGTGCAGGACAGGTAGCTCTGCTACTCCTCAGGGGATATGAACTCCTCTGCTGACTGAAAAAGTTCTTTTTTTTTTTTTCTGCAAGAACCCTAGAAAAAAAACCAAAGTTTGCAGAGCTGCAACTCAGCTAAACTGGAACAATTCCCTCACCCCTAACTTTGCTCTCGATGGAGCAGCGGATAAAGGTGAAGATAATTGGAGAGGTGGGTCACCTGGAGGTGAAGCAGGCAAAAAAGTTGAACAGAGAGTTCACAAATTTAATCCTCACAGCTGGTGTCTTTGACCATGTCAAGGTCTCTTGCACGGTACCACTGACCCCTGTGACGTATGTCTTCTTTCTGGAGCAAACATGAACTATCACCATCCAATAAAGCATGCAGACAAGAACATTTAGTCTCATACAGTAGCATCCCATCGTCTGGAACGAGGCAGCGGCGCTCTCAGATGAACAGCCGGACATCTGAAGCTATGCTAGGGAATTCAAAGCTTAAAATAATTTATTATCACTTTATTTCTATCGTGATAGTGACACGGCAGCGGTAGTGCTGGAGAAATGATTTGTTGTTATGTCTAGGGGAATTCATCATCACTGAGACCAGCGGTGACACCAGCCTCCTCTGGACCGTTTCACTTCATTCAGGTAAAGATATGCACACAAACAGAAACTAAACCAAATCCCTTCAGGGATTAGGTTTATTATTAATTGCTATTCTGCAGCACATCAGTTTTAATTGATATTTTTCTGGGTTAGTCATGGTGGTGGTGATTAACTGGTATAGCACATAAACACTGGTTGTATATTATTTTTCCATGACGTAGTTCTGTTGTTCGCACTGCACTTCATTAATCCCCCTGAGAGAAATTCACCAGCTGCATTTGACTCATCCTGATTACTTTGGAAGCAGTGGGTACAGCCATTGCAGGAAAATGTCTACTTAACATATATGTTGGCCGTGAATGAAGCCGAGCGCCCAACCGAGGAAGCCCACGCAAATGCGGCGAGAACATTTAATTCCACACAAGGGCTCCAGTTGGGGCCTGGAGGACCCTCCTGCTGTGAGGCGACAGTGCTAACCACGGAACCATGCGCCGCCCACTGTACAGAGACCAGCTGAATAAAGATGAAGCTCATACGTGTTTGGAGGTTGGTGATGACGGTGCCGCTGGTGAGGGGTCCTTTGGTGGCGTAGAGGGCTACAGAGTAGGTGGTGCTTGGCTTAAGGTTGGACAGCTGGTGCTCCTGCTTGTTTCCTTCCACAAGGAAAGTATCAGCTGTCACTGGAAAACACACGAGGATTATATGTTTATCGTACATCTTCTGACTACATTCAATTGTAACTGTTAGAAAGAAGCTTCAGCGTGGGAAAGAAGACAGATCTGAATCTCAAAGCCTGCACTGTTTGGCCACCTTTGGGGTCCTCTTTCAAGTCGAAGAATTTCTACACTAATTATGCTTTTGGTGAAATATGCCTTTGGGGACAACTCTGCAAAAATGAGGCCCACTTTCCATGTTTTCTGCTCTAAAATACGACTGAATACTGAATACAAGACTGACAAAACACCATTCATTGCTTATTTTATCTAACTGCATATTTCAAGAATCAATTGAAGGTATTTTCATGAATTTAAATTGGGTGATTGGAAATGAAGATTGGTAATTCATATGTAATCACCCAATTTAAATTCATGTTAATATTTTCTGAATCAACTATTTTTAATAATCAAATCAGAGACTACATATGAATTACCAATCTTCATTTCCAGTCTCTGATTTGATTATTAAAAATAGTTGATTCAGAAAATATTAACATGAATTTAAATTGGGTGATTACATATGAATTACCAATCTTCATTTCCAATCACCCAATTTAAATTCATGTTAATATTTTCTGAATCAACTATTTTTAATAATCAAATCAGAGACTGGAAATGAAGATTGGTAATTCATATGTAGTCTCTGATTTGATTATTAAAAATAGTTGATTCAGAAAATAATTGTGTAACACAAACAAGATTTTGAATTTTCTAGAAAAGACATTTAATATAACTGCTTTTGTGTCAGTGGCTCAGTGACAGGATCTTGTTTGGTTAAAGAGTTTTAATTCAATGAGAAGAGCTGCATCAACGTACCAACATGACCCTCACACTGGTGTGAAATGTGTAAACATCACAGTGACAGTGATGCTGCTGAACAAACCACATTATGTCCGTGCTACACTATTCATTTATTTTATATGAAGTTTGACTGACTGACACCATGATGGTTTGGATTTTATGTGGATGCTCCTGGTTGGCAATAAAAATGTATTTTGTAATGCAGGACAGTATACTCGATAGAAATATGAGATTTATTGACCTTGACTTAATACACTGACACTCGTGGGATTTGTCCACAACTTTACATTGCGCTTCTCCAAACCCTGGCCGGGGCTATGTGTCCAGCATATACAGTAGATACGATCTCTGTATCTGATCAGGCTGGAGTCCAGTCAGTCGGGGTGTAACATACACATCGACTCTGGGAGCTGAGTGATACTGATTCCTTCTGGATAACTCCCGCATGGCTTTGGCAGTGGGGTCGTGTGCAAATGAGAAATATGCTTTCCATAACATTATACTCCAGCCGCGTTATAAAAGTCAGAAGGGAAAAAAATAATTGAGTTCAAGTGTCGTTAAACATTTGACTGGTGAGTTTAAAATATACATGCAAAGGCTGATGACTGAATACACGGGCTGGTGTTTCTTGAGATAACACGACTCCTTTGAAACTTTTTATACTTTCATATTTCAGCACTCTCACTGTGTATGTCAAGCATCTTTATCTGCTGCCGGCCTACCCACTGTAGGCTTGGCAGGGGAGCAAATTATAAACAGACTCTGAGGGGCCAAGCAATACGGCTATCTGTTACTTATCTGGATATGGCTGTCAGACAGTGAATGCATGGGTTGCATCAGAAACGCATGCTGTGTGAAAACGGCAATGCCGGTGTCAAGGTTTAGTGGTTCAACGGAGCATAATGAACTTCTCTGAAGGCAAGACAAATGCATCAACATTGCCTCAAAGCATCACAATGATCTCACTTCTTGTACCTGACACCTCACCACACGCTGCAACCTCAACGACCAAAAACAAATCTGCTCATTGTGCTGCGACTCTTCAGTCTGATGCTGTGACTGACACTTATACCTCTCTAAAATGTAAATTACTTCATTGTCCAGAGAGCGCTTCTCAACAGCACGTTAGTAAGTAAACATTTACTTAAACAGTGACTTTCATAACCAAGGTACGAAGTACTTGACGAAACACAAACATGATGCATACAGACGACGGCATTCAGAAAAAAGCTGATGTGTAAAAATCTCCCTGTAAAATTAGCTGGTAAGCAATGTAAGCAGCAACGCTATAGTGGTGATGTGATACAGACAGATAAGCAGCTGAACTGTTCACTATGGAGGCATTAAAAAGAAAAGGGTGTTGATGATTTTATCCAAATGCTTTAATTCGTCTCATTATTGTCCTTTGGCGGCGGTTAATCAACTCATCCATTCATTATGTAATAAACAGCCTCTGAATGACAGAGTTGGATAACTCACCCTGGTTGTGTGTGAGGGTCAGCACGTAGTTGTCCACAATGGAAACAGGTGGATTCCACTTCAGCAGGGTTCCTTGTGGAGTGATGTTGAGAGCCGTCAATTCAGCCGGCATGTCCATCGCTGCAACAGAATACGACAAAAGTATGAGCCCTATGTATTGACAAAAACAAGAGCCGAAACGTGCTCATTCCAAGAGATCAGATTACTGAGAAGTTATCAGTGACACGTGGCTGATATGACAGCTGTGGATCAACTACAAAAGGTCCACTCACTGCAGGACATGTACCAAGTCAACGTGTTTGCTTTTTTCCTAACAGAATCATTGTTGCTAAAAATGTTTGAAACGATTTATCAATTACCAAAATCGTTGAATAATTGAATGTTATTGGACTAATAGATTGATCAACCAATTGATTCAGGTCTAATGCTAATATTAATAAAATTAGTTTCCCGGCTGAATGCTGCAGGATTTCTTATTTAATTAGTATCCTTAAAATGAAAACACAAAAAAGTTTCAGAAAAACCCAATTAGTGTGAACAGCATCTCAGTTATTTCGGAATACTACTCTGCAATTAATTTGTACACAAACTATGGAGCTGTGTTATAGTTGCTTTCATCAGCAAATATTTGCGATTTTGTTTTTGTAATGCTGGTATTATGGTAGAATTGCAAAGAGACATAAACTATCAATTATACCTTAACAATTTTGAACGGAGTACTATTTGAAATGGAAAACCGTTATTCAATCCACATCTTAGTTGTAATTATAGAGGCCCAGACACAGAAGTGCTTTGCATTCATACTGATTTATAGTGACTCTCTTTGCCATTTGGATCAGTGTTTCCTCAATTCTAACACACATCAAAGAGAAATTATGCAGTCAAAAAAGGCTGTGGAGAATCTCAGCTACTCTCCCGAGCCCACTGTTTGCCCACCCTCTTCCTGATTTCATTCTCAGACTGCTGGACATGCCAAAATTGAGTTTGAATTTAATTATACCTTTAACCTCGGTGTTTCAACCCCAATTTCTCCTCAGGCGTGATATTGCAGCGCGGCAGCGAGCGTGGCAGGAGAACACAGAACACTGCATGTGCTCCAAAAGCTCAGCCCAGACGAGGTAATTAATATTGCCCTGCCCTCATCAGAAAAATAAAAAAAGAACTGCGCTCATTAGCACCACCAAGTGAGTTTGGGTCTTTCTTATCTCTACAACAGATGGACAAACCTGATTAAAATCATTACTTTAATTGCAAAAAGGTTTAAGTGAATTTAATGGAGGTTTGCCAAGTCAATTAGACCGGCAATGGAGATGGAGTAGCGATGGCCAATAAAGAAATAAAATAAACAGGTCATCCACTTTCATCAGTCCCAGTGATAATCCAATCATCGCTCTCCATCTCCTGATTGCACCGGTGAATCGCAGATTGAGCCAACGACATCACGCTCACATGCTCGGATCTGTATCTGAAAGTCAAGCCCCGGTGCGTAAGATTCAGGACCAGAGAGAAAGGTTTGCACTGAAACCACATGTCAAAAGTTGTTTTCAGGAGTAACTCATAGTCATTCACATCGACAGCAGCACTGAAGTCAAGCAAGACAATTTTTGTTGTCATATATTTGACTCAGCCAGTCATCAGCCATCTGTGTTGAGGTGGTACAGGTAGAGTTGATATCTTCTCAGGCATGCTGAAACTCAGAATTAAGGCCATTGACGGAAAAAAAACTCAAAATGTGATCGTACACTAGTCTATCGAAAAGTTTACTAGGAGCAGGAAGAATACTAATTGGTCCGCTGTAATCCCCATTGAATCTACTACAGTTCTTTCCGTGCCTTTCTTTCAGGTGAAGGTTAAAGACGTGAGATACAGGTCTTGTAATGTAATCAGTTATAATTCGTATTAATTTACCATCAAGGTTATCCAGTCCAGACTGTTTATTATCTAATATGAGAAGTCTTTTTTATCTCCTCCAGTAGAAGTGGTTGGAGATTAAACCTACAGCTTTAGTTTTTTATGATAAACTCTTCAATTCGTTTCTTTAGAGAATTTGCCATTTGAGGTATTCATATTGAGTCTTAGACTGTCAACCTTTTCAGTAAAGGGATCATTGAGATAAGTTAGCAATTTCAATGAATGCACCACCTGATTTTATATAGGAAGGATTATTTGCTTTTACTTAGGTATTCCAATAATTTCTTGCCATCACGCTTTAGTTCATAGATCTTGTTTTGGTCGCAGCGTGTCATTTATTCTTGTGACGTTGTTTCTGAGTCCACGGTATTCATTCTGTTGATTTTATTGCCGCACGTTCCACAGCTATATCCACTAAATTATGTTAACGTCAAACCAACAGGGATGGATAAGGCCCTAGAGAAGCTCTCGCTGGCATCTGTGTCAATATGCTCAATGCATGAGGCTGCTATTGGTAGGCCAGGTCATCATCTGAGTCAAATACATGATTACATAATACATGCAATCGCTTTTTCCGAGCACAGGTCGAAGAACTGTATGGATCCGCCTAAAAGTATTTCTCCATCAGCATCAGTGACTTTCTGAAGCACGGCACATATATCATCAGCGTATTGTATATTAAAGCTTGGGGGTCTACAGAAAAAAAGCAATAAATACTGGTTTGATGTGAGGTGAATTTAAGAGTTGAAGGGCTTTTATAACTGGATTTCTGATCTGAACTGGAATGTGGCTTTGAACATATATATCAACACCTCCGCTCATGTCAGGTACGGCTACTTCAGAGTCATTAACTGAGATGTGTTTCTGAAACATCAATCACATTAGATAATCATTTCTGAGTGGCATCAAGAGATCTTGAGACTACAGATATTAAGGTGTGCAATCCTTAGGTAAACCCAGAGACATTATTAAAGCAGTGACACTGCTTTAGGCACTTATCCTGGGTCTGACCCCTGTCCTCCCTTAGGCTGGCTTCATGGACCCTCTGTCTCTGGCAGCTCGAAGCTCAGGAAGTCGATTTCTCGGGAAGAAGGTCTAATTAGTATTTTTCTTGAAGTCAGCTAAAAAGAACTTGATAATTCATCTCTGTATAATTTACAGACCAATGTCGCGATGTTTACCTTATTTCCATTATTGTATAATATTCAGTGGTGAAAGCTATGTGGTTGTCTGATGACGAACATCTAGCAAGTCACGTCTGGCAATTGAAGCTGAAGGTGTCAGATATCATCTAAAGGAGCATATTGAGAGCTCCAAGTCTCCTCTTTGGCTGCAGAACTCACTTAACTTAATGTTAAATTCACAGACTGACAGAACAAGCGGATACTCAGCTTTGAATGTATAAAGATCCTAAAACAAGTGATGAAGATTTGTAACTTTGTTTGTGTTTTTTCCCTCTCCAACAAACAGAGTGTACAGACATCAGCTTGCACTGCACGTTCACTAAGTAACAACTAACAGATTGTTTTGTAGTTTAGCTTGCCCACACAATTAATGTTGATACAGTTCATAAGCCTGCTAACGGCTTTGATAACAACCTTGGTTTCATGGGGGACAATTGGGCACATGAAGATTGTTATAAATGGAGATTATTAAAGGTCCCATATTGTAAACAGGGGGATTTTCACGTCTTCTATTATTATAAAGCAGGTCTAGGTGCTATATAAATTGTGTGAAAGAATCAAAATGATCAATCCTTGGAAATATACACAGTCTGTATTCAGAAAATGTTGCTCCTAACAGTAGTGATGTTACAATTATACAATATATGTACAATGTTACAGTTCTTTAAACATTCTAAATGTGTCACGGTGTATTTCCGGTTACGGTTTAGGTGAATGACATCAGCTGACAGAAAGTAAACATGGACCCAATGTGTTTCCTAGCACTACAATCCTGTTTAAATGAGAATACAAGTATATTCAGACGGACAGTCAGCTGTGACAGTGGACCGTGAGGTCAGTCTGCTGTGTGCTGTGTCCATTATGTCGACCACACTGCAGCAGACAGTACAGTTAGTGAGACACATTGGGCCGTTTTACTCCCCAGTCCTTCTCTACATCCCCTCTCATTACTGTGGAAGCTGTACTGCCTCCCTGTATACAAAAGCAGGTTATCAGTGCGAGAGTGTTCTCCACTCTTAGCTACACTGGATGTGTCTGTGGCGCAATACTCAAACTAATACTTGCGGCCACAGCCATGCAAACATTGTACATGTACTCATGCTTTTATTCTGCATGTGAGTGGTACTGAACTTTTCAATGCTGATTTTAGTTTGTGAATGTAGAGTACTGTACTGTATTTGTAGAATATGAAAAAGAAAGTCGGGGGGGACTAAATGGTCTCTCTTCCAACTTAAGTTTTGGGACAAGTAATACTTCACTAGGGGTCCTGATACTTTGTCAATGAGCACCGTTATTAGCACTCCGTTAAATAGACCTTCACATTGTCTATTTAGTGTCAACCCTCCGAAATTCATCTTAGATTAGCGGTACCTGCTGTGTTAACACAATGAAATATGGCTCCCTGCTTTTTCGTCCCCTCCGACAATAATTGATTACGGAAGTCAAGTAAGTAGCAATTCCAGCGTTATTCAAGTCATTACATACTTGGCCAGGCACTGCTGGATTACTGTTCCAAATCCCCTGTTTCTGTTTTGTTGTTGAAAGTGGAATTAAAAAGTCCCTGGTTGGGCATTGTGCGATGTGAGAAAAACGTTATTTACCATTTCTAACAAGCTTGACTTTGGAGTTATGTTCTTTTCAGGCTATTACAGCCCTGACGGCTCTGCTTATTGTTAGTACACAGGGATTGTTGAAAGAAGAAGCTGATGATAAAGAAGTGGAGAGGAAGAGCTAGACACACACGAGAAGGTGAGAGACTCTTTTGCTTCTTCTTTTCTCACTGGATTGCTGGTGAATTGGGTCTCATTGGCATGCAAACACACCTCCTGCTCCCCTTTTCTCCCTCCTATCCTGGGCTCTCCTTAGCTCTCTCGCTGTTTCGTCTCTAACACACAACGGAGATTATTATGCATAGCACTGGGAGAGTGTGTTAGTGGAAGAACGGTGTCCCGTTCCCAACGGTGTTTACATGCATAACTTGTGATTTAGTGCCAAGTAAAGAGTCTGAAAGCAAGGGAGCTTGAGGTTTCTTACGTATGTTGATGAATCGGGAAGAAATTAGTGGAGAGAGAGACACCAAGAGAGAAGATTAAAGAATGGAAAGCGGAGAGGAAATGGAAAGGGGAGACAGAAAGATGGAGGATAGAGAAGAGAAGGATACTGAGAGACAGAGAGAGGCGTGACGATACAGTGGAGAGGTGAGGCTTAAGTATAAAGAGATAGGAAAGAAGGGGAGGGAAGCAGAGAGATAGAGGAGAGTGAAATCGAGCTGGGAGTAAGTTACCAATTACTGGGTCATGGAGTGGACAGTTTCATCTATTGCAGCAGTAAGGATTGCACCTGCTGCAATGTCAGCTGTACCCTTAGATTTTGTCTGACGTCTGTGTCTGTGTGTGTGTTGCTCTTTCTGGCACATACAGTGGATCCCAACGCGCAGCTATTCTTGTTGTATAAAGAACAATTGGTCTGAGAGTCCAGCAAACATTTCATCCATGTCCCACCCCCCTCTCACAGTGTATTCTCTTCCATTCTATTCGCCCCTAATGTTTCCTCATCAACTCCTACCTGTGAAGATGGAGGTGCTGACCACTTTGCTCTCCTGACTCCCCCTGACAGCGCTGAGGCTGATGTCGTATTCTGTAGCAGGAAACAGGCTAGACAAGGTGTAGTTGGTCACATCGCTGTCCATCACCACGCTGTCCACTCGACCTGCAGGACAACATCAGAAGTGTTGCTATCGCTCCGATCTTACATTTCTTCAGCTACAAGGTAACTGGTGTGTGCTTTCTATCACGTGACTAAATATTTAATTCCATTTTTATGGAGTAATTATTAAATACAGCATTTTAATTAAGAATAAAATTACATTTCACTGATAAAGTGTTATCAATTGATTAGATACAACAATGTGTGTAACAGGGTTCCCTGCTACAATATATCTTTCATCAGAGAGACCTGCTACAACAAATGCCATGTTCATTTAGATGAAACATGAGAACGCAGAGTGCCGGCGTGTATGCCAACGTATTAAACACCATGTAATTATAATGCAATAAAGACAGGCGTAAAATAAAGGATATGCTACCTCTGGCTGATTGGTAGGACAGCTTATAGTATTCAAATGCAGCCAGTGGTTTGATCCAAAAGATAGTCACTGCGTCTTCCGTCACATCTGACACAGTCATCTCTTTAGGTGGGTCCATGCCTGGAAGAGAGAGGATGTGTGTTAGCAATGAATCAAAATGGCCCACAATGGAAAACATGGGAGAATTTACTCTGATCCCAGAGATACAATAGGAGCACATTACAACGAGAGTTCAGGAATCGACATAAAAATCTAAAGGATCAGTAGTGTTGAATACCGAAGTACTTAAGCAACCCTTGCTTTGTCCATTTTTAATCTCCTCTTCATCACATTTACATAAACAGACCTGTCCTTGGTCTTTTAAAGCACACACATTTATAAATAAACAAACACCATCAAATGATACTCCAGTAGAAATATAGCTTGTAAAAGAACACAATAAGGCAGCATTAGACTGAGCAAAGCTTACTCAGAGGAGATTTCCCCCCCCCCGCAGACAATTTGCTTTATGTGTCTCCGGAGACTATCGAGCCATGGAAAAGGTTAGGGCGAAAACAATGTGAGCAAACAATTAAACTGGTGACAGGTCCTTAGCTGCAAGAGAAAAAAAAGTAAGTTAGAGAGGGGGAAAGAAAAAGACAAAAAAGGGTGGAGGAGATTAAAAGATCACTTCCATCTCTTGGTGTGGACAAGAGGCGAAACAGGCAGCGCTTGTAAACCAACTGCTCTGCTCGTCTTTGAAAAGAATAATGGCTATTATTCACAAGCAGAGGGGGCAAGTTATAACTCCTGGGCTTGATTTAAATTCAACCTTTATGACATACATGAGTAGCTATGCATGCATATCTGACTAATAATGTTTGCCTTGGCCAGAATAACGGCAGCAAATTAGCATTTTCTCATGAAGCTTCCTGAGAGGGTCTGAATGGGAGCAGTTACAGAATATCTACCGCTATTGACCCGCCCCCCCCCCCCCCCCCTGGAACAACAACTTCAATTTGCACTGTGTAAGCATAATAAATGAACGTGGCCATCGGGCTGAGCGACATTAACGCACCCTTTGAACTGACCGCACAGAGTGACTATCAAAGTCTGGTAAATAACAAACCACCTACTGTATCTGGTTCAAAATTGGGCGGCAGAAAATTTCAAATGCAACGCTAAAAGCATCCCTAATTACATAAGGAAAGTCAGAGTGCAGTCTCTCATCAGCGTTCGCATTCAAACATGCGAGATCAAAGCATCACCGCAGTCTAAAGACAGGTGCAGGAAATACTGTACATCTCTTTCATAATCCCTGTCCAATTTCACCCTCAAAACCTGCTCAGCATCATGTGTGGGTGAATGTAAAGAGAGAGAGAGAGAGTGCTCGAAGCTGCCAAGGTATTATGTGAAACTGGCACAGTAATTAGATGACAGCATGCAGGTGTCTCTGGCACTGATGCAAAGTTAATATCTCTATTGTTCAATGGTCACTTTCGCCTCTCCTCTGCATTTGTCTTCAGTCCTCTCTTTGTTTCTCTTTTGGGGATTTTCCTTTCTTCCAAATTTTACCCGCTGTCTCTTTCTCGGGCAGGTTGTTCCACTGACCCCTCTTCTCATTCATTCTCTTCCCAGATGTAATTAGCACACTCGTAATCAAAAGAAATGTTTCTGAGAGCCGCTTCTGACAAGAAGCCAATTAGCAGCTAAAATAAATGACGTGGTAATTCTGTATAATATGTTAACAAAGACAGAGAAAGGTGTGGAGGATCATTGCGGCGCAGTGGGAGGATATCAATCGAAAGAAATGGAGAGAAACGATAGAGAAACTGTAAATGAGCGAGAGGAGACAGAATAAAGGGAAGCCTAGAAGGAAAAGACTAAATTCAAATGAATAAGACAGAAAACGACTTCTTCTCTTACACTACAGTAACAATATGAGCTCAGCCCACACATTGCACCTTTCCTCCCCGTCTCTCATTCTTCTTTCCTCTGTCCTTGTCTGTATTAGAACATTTCTCAAATAGCCCTAAATGTTATGATTGCCAATGAGTTCAGAATGAACACGAAACAGCACTGGATCGTTATACACGCCGGCTATAGACACAAATTCCATCTGTGTGGCAAACCTCAGCCATCTGATACCACAGGAGAATAAAACAAGCGTGTATTTTTGGGGCTGTGTCTGTAAGTCTGGCAAGGAATTAGAAAGGAAAACACCTCCAAGGCAGATCTCTAATTACAAAACTCATTCTGCTGTGGTTCTGTGCAAATCAGATGCTAAAACAAGCATTTTTGCAAATACATATTCATTCAAAATCACTTTGTGTTTCCATTTCTTATGCCAATTTATCTCCTTATTAGTTTCCCACTTCACCTCACACTTGCCACAGTGTTTCCCCACTTTCTTTCCCTTTCTCTACTGATTCCAACCTTCATCCTAAATAGGATTCAAGGACATTCCAGTTCCTCCTGTCTCAACAAACCCTAAAAAGAAGAGTAGTTATAGTTTCTCTGTTGTGAGGATTTGCTGCATCGTTATGATGGACATATTGTCACTATTGTCAATAGACCAAACAACCAATCAATCTGCACATTCATTTATAATGTAAATCATTGTTAGTTGCAGCCCTAAACGTGACATTAAGTTCATAGGTACAGAACAATTCATCCATGCATAGACAAACAGTATGATGCAAGGTTGCGCAACTACTAAAACAGATCTCGTAAACAAAGCCTTTATTGTGCTGCTCATGCTTATTCATCCTCGTGTGTGTCTTCCCTGAGTTACCTTTCATACCACTTACACATGAAATCAAGCAGCTCACCTGTGGTGAGCGATGCTGTAATGGGCTCAGAGGTAACGTCCCCCTGTATCGTGATCAGACTGACGGTGTACTGAGTGGACGGCAGCAGCCCCTGGACCAGTGACCTCGTCTTGGAGCCGTCCAGCGTCACCTTAGAGGTGTCGGTCCCGTCTGCGGAGCTGTAGCTCAGGATGAAGAGCTCAGCGGGCGGTGCCGGGGCGCTCCACGCCACCGACACCGAGTCTGAAGTCACCTCTGACAAGTAGAGGTGGGTTACGGGCCTGATTCCTGGAGGAACGAGGGACCGCAGAGTTTTCAAGGACAGGTAGAAAGCCGACCACAAGCAAGAAACAGCGATGAAAAAAAAGATAACAGCTGCCATCGTTATGGAGATGACAGACAAGCAATGTCAGTGATGGATGGAAGCAGTCCTGGATGGTGCAATAGATCGTTTATAATAAAGAAAATTAGCCTTGGGCATAATCTTGATGGGGCAGGTGAGAGTCAGAGAAGACCACAATCATGTGGAAGTGATGAGATTATCCGCCGTAAAGATGAAGATGTGATGGGACTGTTCACAATGAGGAAATGGAGGAATGATGATGATGATAGCAGATGCCATTGTCAAAATGTATGACCTGGAGAGATGATGTAATGAATACGAACCAGTGTAGCAGATGATGCAGCAACAAATGCAACATGATTGGAATTTAATCAGCCATGTGTGGACCTATAAATAGTAGGGAAGATGCAGTGACATTGACTTCACCTTTTCTGATTTAGCCAGATTAAACTGTGGAGTTTTATTTGTAATCAATCATCATTTGAAACCTGTGCAGTTAACACTGGTCTGCAATTAAGTTCTTCTTCTCTTTTATTGGCGAACAGACGCTTTTTGTGGTGCATTTCCTTCAGCAACTGTAGACATGCTTTCAAAAGAAAATGTATATCACGTAAACCCCCATAGTGGCGTTCTTGTGTGGAAGCCAGGAGAAGATGTGGTACAAATGATCCAAGGAGACACTTGTCCAAACAAGGCTTTATAGCAGCAGCAGTTGTCAAAAGCGCAACGTGGCTTGGCTTTAATCTTGGATGAAACATTGCAGTAGAAGGAGGGTCCGTTTAATGTGATGGGGGTGGTTATGGTGAAGATGCCGTTGATCAAGATGACAATGATACATCTTTTGTAGAGTTAGTTAGGGCCTAAAAAGCCAGTTAACTGCAGCTACAATGACCTCACACAGGCAATGTACAGTAGGTAATGATAATTTATAACTGTAGGTTTTAATGATGGTTTTACAGATAAAGGTCAGAATACTAATCATGAGAAGTGTGACTTTGCCTGTGAAAAAAGATTGTATAATGTCTTCTCCGTCTCTAAAGGAATTTCTAAAAAAAAAAAAACATGATGATGTCATTGCAGTTTTCCCGATTTGGGCTTGTGGACTTTGAAGTTATAATGGAAAGCTGCATTACAAACTGGGGGGAGCTTAAAAGGGCATTAATTAGGCTAGAACAAGAGCACCGGGCTTTGAAGACACAGTGGCCAGTCTGTGGAATTACAACTTCTAGGTCCATCTCGTGATCACATTTGGCCCAAAACAACGTTTTTCAATAGACTTATATTGGGAAAGAGACACGTGTAACTCAGCGGATTCTCTTTTTTTTTTTTTAGGTAAATCAACTTCGCAGGGCAAACACTTCAGTCGCACTTATTTAAATTATTAGGTTCTAAAAGTTGTAAAATGCAGACAAATTCAGAGTTATAACTAACTACCGTTCATGTGAGCGAGCTGTTACAGAGGGGCTCGGAAGCGGGATTAAAGCAAATGCTAGTGCGCTAGCTCTATGGACCCATGGATGCATTGGATTTTTGTAACAGGCAAACCTTCTTGGCTTCATGCATCCCAGTTGTATTCTCATGCATCCATGGGCAACAAAGATCTAATGAAAAAATGCTAGTATGTGTTGCATGATGGGAAATCTAGTTTTTTTAAGCTAGTCCTATACTATGGACCAAAAGTTAGGATATCGTGGCCTCGCTAGCTAAAATAAAGTACATTTCTCCTTATGGAATGGTTTTCACTCGTGCTGCTATTAGTATTACAAAACCTTACCTAGAATAAGAATACATGAATAAACAAACAAATTAACCCATTATAATGAGATGTAAATGAATACATATTGTTAATGAGTAATCCTCTAGTGCTTTCTGGGTGATAGAGCGTAAAAACACGGCAGCAACGATAAATGAATAATGATAGGCTTGCAGACAATTTCTTACAGCAAGTGGCAGAGCTTCATATTCAGTGACAAAGAGATCAGTGTTTGGGAAGAGACACACCTGGAGCTGATCTCCTCATCAGGGAGGTGAACAAATGGCAAGCAGGGAAGCGGATCTTGGAGATCATGCTGAGAGAAGAGCAGAGTCTCTTCTCCCCAGGATAGGGCTCTTGACCGAGCTAGGTTTTTGGGTTTTGCTTTGGTTTACTTTGAGTTATATGGATATATTGATCAAAGTTCAAGATCAAACCTTTTTCCCCCGGTGATGAGGCAGACAGATGTTGCCAATATGGCCAAGTGAACAGTGGATGAGTAGATGACGGGTAATTAATAATTCTTCCTCTGATTCTCTTCATCTGTCTTTTTATCAGTCTCTCATCTCTCCTCTCCAGATGGTTCGAGATGTGTTAAAAGATGATGATGATGATGGTTGTGATGGTGACAACTGCCACGACGGTCACAGTGGAGAAGCACAGAGATGATGGTGGTGATGATGAGAGAGGTGAAGAAAAGAGTGACAAATCTGCCAGCAGGTAAGCTTGTGCCTATCCCATCTATCAGTTGCTTTGTGCAACTGATGATCACATCAGGCTTTCTGTAGAAATAACCAAGAACCAACAGCGGTGGGTAGATTGACAGGCAATCCCACATTTAGTTGGACGGCTACACACAACTTGTTGTGATAAGAAATTCTCAGAGAAAGAGGGAACTGAGAAAGAAGAGCAGCACAAGCGAGAGGGTGTGGTGTTGAAAAGGAATCAGAACAAACAGACACAAATGCATTCGGATGCAAAACGGAGGCGCAATTACGGAACACTTGTAACAAGCTCATTAGCTGACGTGAATAATTTACCTCCCCTAATTGCTTCTGCAATGCCTTTTAACGTCTTCCATTTTCTTTTAGTGCGACTCACCTTACCTGCTGCCACACTTTAGTTCATTATATTCACTGTTCAACTTCATTACACGCCACTGTTGTTCAAACTGCTCCACAGCTTTGTGCAGTAATAGGCTGATCTTTTCATGCAATTATCTGAGCAAAGAAAACACTGGAGTGAATTTAACTTGGCGCTGTCTGATAGTTGAGTGGATCAGCAGCTGTACTGCAACCTTGATCCTCGAGAAAAAAAATGTCTGACTGTAATGCAGACAAGGGAGACAAAAATAACACTGTCTACCTGTTTGAGTACATAACACTTGAATAGACTCTCTACCTGTGAACGCATCTATGGTAGCTGCAGTGCTCTGCTGCCGTCCTCTTCTCGCTGCCACAGTGATGGTGTACTCGGTACCGGGCTCAAGGTCGGTCAGAGTGGTGGTGGTTACGTCTTTAGGCACATTCAGCTGGAAAAGGAAGACACGGTTCAATCACTTATATAGTGTTTTTCACAGACATAAGTCACAAAGTGCTGGACAGGATCGTTATATCATACAAGACAGAAAATCACAAATTCAATAGGACTGCTCTAGACACTTCAAGACTACTTCATAATAAAAGGTCATAGCCTTGTATTGGACGAGTATTGGGCGTCTGTGTCCAGTATACACGTGCATAGCTATTTATATTCAACGTTCATCCGTTCACTTCTTTACCTCAGCAGTGAGGCCAGAGGAGGATGTGTAGGTGACCTTGTAATGGTCGATGGGGCCCTGGACCACGCCCCACACCAGAGTGATGGTGTTGTCTGTCGAAGCCATCACAGTTAGATCCAGGGGCACATCCAGACCTAATGTAAAGGAAACACGATTTAAGAAAATGCTTTCCAAACAAAAATGTGAAAAAAAAAGAACACCCAGCACGAGCACATTAACGCGGTTATTTACCCGCCTGAGTGGGCGTGTACCAACAGGGGGAGGGGATTTAAGATATTACATGACTTTTCCATCCAAGTGTCTTCATGTGCACATTTTCAAATTCCAAATAAAACAGCTGAGCTGAAACACCAGACAATAGGAGGAAAGATATTTATTTAATTCAATGTATTTATCACTTACTTTTTAAATGTACTTTGCCCTCCCTTTGGTTGGGCTACCCCAAAAAATGATCATTTTATTTCTGTCGACTACTAAAGTTATAATGTTATGTTCTGGTATGTTTTCTGTTTGTTGCTCTATTGCCTAATTCTCTTATGGTTTGTATTTTTGTATTCCACACACAAAAAAGAAAGGAAAAGCAGCTGTTGAATGTCAAAACCTTACATTTTCTTTTATAAATTGTGTCGATGGAAACATTTTAGTTTTGGTGAAATGTCAGAGATGTGCTCCAACATTGTGCAACATTTTAGTAGAAAAACAACTCGTTCTTCCGTATATATCTACTGTTTATCCTCGTCTTTGATGCAGCAATGACATCAAAAGTAGGAGCGTTCCTGATTGAAATGTAAGAGTCAGCTTCTTTCTCCGTATTAACATAATGATCCCACGTTCTGTGTTTAATCTTCTGGTATTAGTTTTGTTCTCATGATTGTCATTTTCTGTCCTGCAGCAATGACCCAACTTGCCCAATGGATCATCAATGTTTGATTCTCATTTAGTCCTCTACTGCAACCCTCAATGTTTTGGGAGCTTCTTCTCAAATAGACTTTTTTTTTGGGGGGGGGAGTAAGATGGAAAGAACTTCAACTAAATCCACTGTTAGTAGAAATGATGCTTTGCGCTTTCAGCAACTCAAAATTAGCAGACAGGAGATGTTGTCATATTATTTAAAGCTATTTGAAAATGACGTGATAGCTGAATTTCATTTTTAAAGTTCAAAGAGTGGCACAGAAAGTGCTTGTTCGTAAAACAAATGCAGGCATAATTTAGCGAAGTGCAAAAATACCTTCAGCCATTAAAATGATTGCAACTGGAGGGAAGATGTGCTCGACAGTCAACGTTACGGGAAAGATTATTGAAGCACCTCCGTGCACTAACATTTCAAACAGAAGGTTGAATGGGATCTTTTTTGTCTCTCCACCTAAACACAATAAAAATTAAAATGGCCGATCAAGTGCTGAGGTAAAGAGAGGGCCATTAGCAATTAATGGTATTCATTATTACAGCTTTAAAATTGCGTAATGGGAACTTTGACCCCAGCTAGTGATATAAAACTCCCTCTCCCTAAAATAGCACAAGTCTTGCCAAAATCTGATTTGCTTAATGCCACTAAAATGTCTTTTAATGGTTGGAACAGGAGCACTGACCAGCCTGCTGTGAAACTTTCTAGTACAACGCTGCTGTGATTCACTTAGTGTCTTCTACTTGCATCAGTGGAGTCTAAACAGTAATCCACTCACCCGTCCTGGCGTTCATTGTTGCCGGTGTACTCTGGTTGCTACCTTTCATGGCAGAAATGCCGATCCCGTACTCTGTGCCTGGCAGCAGGTCTGAGGCACAAAGACACAAAAAGCGGTTAGTAATGTAACACACGATGCAGCAAGAAGGAAGTGCTCGTTTCACACAGACTCGTTTCGCACTCGCCTTCTGAAGCAGAGTGCATGTCAACTACATTGTAGTTTCTCATAGCCCAAGTTAGCTCTCCATCGGCGATGAGGTCTTGGTCAAATTTACATGAACACGAGTATGATTTCTGAAGAAACGTGCTTTTTTTTTTGCCAACAGCATAATTGATCAGTTTAAAATCAATTCAGTACATCCCCAGAGATTCTCAAGCTACAGAAATAAGGTAATGAGGAATAGAAATGAGCGAGAGTGTGACAGAGATTATCAGCAGGGAGAAAGTGAGAGTGACAGAGAAGGAATGAGGGTGGTGGCAGCATCGATTAAAATGGCCCAACACAATAACACAAGGACCTTTTCCTTCTATTCTTATGCCGGCCGTGACCTTTCCAGCACTGTGGCCTTTCAGAAAAAAAAACATCCCAGCTGACCCCTTCTTTCTGACAGCCTTTCAATACGCCCGCAGGACAACAAGCGTTTCAATAGATACAATCAGTCGTCCCGTCAGCTAAATGTTAGCTCTGGAGATAATCCCGCCATGTTAAACACAAGGGCACTAGCCAGCTTCTTCAGTACACATTAGATGCACTGTGATAATACTCAAGGCATTAGCAAAAAAACATTGCCCTGAGCAAAAGACCCCTATTCAATAAAAATAGACGAACAACAATAAGCAAATGAAAGAAAACACAACACATGACTTCTCACTGCTTACCTGTGAGGGAGGTCTTAGTGGTGGCTCCCTCATTGCGTGGTACAATGACTTTATCATACTGGTCTCCTGCTAAAGTGCTGTACACCACCTGGTAGCCCTCCACCTACATTTAAACATATACATTTAAACACTTACAAAAAGGGAAGGGAATACAACGCGTTCACTATGAGCCAAAGCAGCTTTAAATTGGTTCATATAATAAAGGGTTTATTTTGAATTAGTGCAGCACGATATCTGTCTCTCTGCCAACACTGCAGAATCATGAGGATGAATACAGGCATCATGACAGACTGGCTTCATAAGTCTGGTTGTGTACTTAGTGAGGCCCTGCGTGAAACTACCTGATTTACCACATTAAAACATTCAGTGACCACTTGAACCCAGTAAATGTGTTCGTAGTGATATTTGCGGACTAATGCAGACCGACCTGTGTGTGATGATGAAGTGCTAAAATACAACAAGACAAGAATTTAGATAATTGGGGGCAATAAACTCCAAAAAGTATGCAGGAAGGGTCATGGAGGGTTGGAGAACGTCCAGGGATTTACAGCAATTTGGTTGTTATTTTTACAAAAGAGACATAATTATCATACTCTCAGTGATATGAAGCGCACCTAAGGTTATGCTGAGACACTGTGGAGGCTTTGAAGTATGTCAGAATAGTCCACGACATGTATTTGAAAAATAAACACTTATGTAACCTACTTTATATCACAATATAAAAATGCTTCATTAGTCTTGCAATAAAAATGTACTTAGGTGAAAGTACAGAGGCATATTCAGCAAACTCCACTTAAAAGAATCAATAGTTAAAGTACTAATTTTTGCCCTTCAGGAGTATTTTATCTATACCGGCCTAATTCAATGTCTATTTTGGATTATTATAACTATTACATTGCATAATATTTCATATGTCCTTATGTTTTGAATGTAAAATCTTAATCGGCAAAGTAATTAAAATTGTTAGTGGACTAGAAAATACATATACAATGTGCAAAATACTATACAGCTAAAATAATAAAGTAAAGTACAAGTACCACAAAACTGTACGTAGATACAAAACCAGTAAAAAATAAAAGTACATGTGCTTAATTACTCTCCACCACCAATAGCGGCATATAACTTCAAGACCATTTACTACATCAGAATACAGGCAGTTTCAAAAACAACCAATCAAAAGACGACACAACACACTTTGTTTTACCGAAGATTCACACCCGACCTGTTAATCACTGAAATGGGTTGAAAATCAAACTATGAAAATAAACTGCAAATGCTTTTTGGACCCAGGTCTACTTACCTCAGCCTCACTGTTGTCCCATTCAAGCTCCAGGGTGGTGGAGCTCTTGGACAGCAGCCGCAGGTTCTTGGGGGCATCGATCTCTGAGAAGAACGATAAAGCTGACAATGTTGGGGACACTGAGACCAATTCGTGAACAAGCAAACATCATCAGACACAGATACAGTTAGTTATCAACTGTTAATTACTACAGTTGATCTGTATGTATAATGACATCACTTACTGTACATCAGATGCTATACATGTCTGTTTAAAGAACATTTTACTCAAGATGGAGCTGAAAGTGATGTCATTTTGATGAAGTTCACTTGTTGTTTACTTTCTCCTGCACAAACAAGGTCAATAATTACCTTGAACAGATGTTCACTTCCATATATATCCAATATGAACAAACAGTATGTTTTACATCATCAACTCTTGACTCAGAGGCAGGCACAGGATCACACGCACCACTATCACACAACTATCTACTTGCTGTCAGGCCTCACCGGTAGTAAATTCAGTGGAAATAGAGCCGCTCTCGTTTCCTTTTCTCACTCCACTCACGGACACCTCGTAACGTGAGCCGGGACGCAGAACCTGTGGAACAAAATAACAACAACACAGGGACAGTTTAGTCTGTGTAATCTCCAGACACAGAGGGAAGGCAGACTCTGGGATGATTTAACAAGCATGACAAACGTACACACACGCACACACACAATATATTTACAATGTGATAACCCCAAAGCCAGCTCTCAACCCAAAGATAAACGGTTTAAGTTGTGAGGAGTGGCTTTTCTCTCCCCAGATGGCAGGTGAGTCCACATATTTGTGTCTGTATGATCAGATCTGTGACACCACAACGTGATTAATTGCACACACATGCCACCGCTCACCTGCAGGGAGTACTGGCTGAGTGTGGGCTGGAGGCGGAAGGTGGTCCGTGGGCCCTCTCCTCCCACCAGGCCGTAACGTAAAACAATCTGATCAATCTTTGCTTTTGGTGGTGTCCACTCCACAAACGCTACGGTGTCCGACACATCCCGCACAATCAGCTGAGTGGGGCCATCGATCACTGCGAAGAAAACAAGGACAGAAGAAGAAGAATTATTGAGAGTCCTGTTGCAATGTGTTCTTTACCTTACCATCTATTGCTGCACTTTTTTTTAAATTGGTCTAGGTATTTTTGTACACAATCACCTGATTTTTGGTTAGATAGTTAGTTAGTGGTAAGTTAGTCAAACCTTTTTAGATAATTCTCGCTTAGGGAGGGATGCAACTTAATTATTTTGACAATACAAATTGTGAAAAATGCCTGTGACAATTTCAAGAAGTCCAAAGTGATGTTTTTAAATTGCTTCTTTTGTCCAACTAACGCTCCAAAACCTTGATAAATTCAGTTTACTGTCACATAAGACAGTGTGTACCATACTTCTGGCTTGTGATCCTTTAAAATAAAGCAGTGTTTATATGCGACCCCTCTCACCAGAGGTGTCAGGAGTCTAAAAGTTACAACTTTGACATCTAATCTTTTGAGATTGTCCCTTTTGAATTTATTTTTAAGGCCAAAAAAGAAAAACTATCTGATATTTTACAAGAAACTAAGATAGATTTGAGATAAGAATTACATTTTGTGCAGCAGAATTAACCCAGATTTATGTTGTGACCCATTGCAGGGGTTCCTATTTTGTGAATCACTAATGATTAAGAACAAGAATTGCTGCCTCGCGGTTGTATGCCATTTCACATCCATGTCTGTAATACATTTCATCACTTCATCATTTTATCTTAATAGACATTCTTGTAAAATTAGCATATCAATTCTTGTTTCATGGCTTGTGTTTTGTGAGACCAAAGTGACCTTTGTCCACCAAATTCTGGTGGTTCAAGTGGATGTTTGTGGGAAATTTGAAGTAATTTCCTCCAGGCGTCTAAGTCTGTCAAAAAAAATCATAGAAGCTAAACTTCTCAAATGTTAAATGTTATCTTACTACAACTACATAGCTGTACAAGAACTTGGTGTGAATAAAATACAGCCTTGGCCAAATCGTGATAAAATAAACAAAATCAAAAGAATAAGTTCTGATCTGACGAAACATTTGGTGCCAACTTTTGGTTTGGACACATTTCAGTCAGTGTGAAAAGGGGAAGCTAAAATGGAAAACTTCAAGCCCATGCAGTGGTAGATTAGTTATCTGAAAAAGCTGTTCTCCGACAGCCAAGCATGTAAAGCTTATCAGACCTCACACACACACACCGAGGCTTTATCTGTGCAAGGTGTAAAACATAAGCGGTGATAAAAGTCTCTCTATGCTGATTGCTGGAAAACCACATCTATTAGGTGTGAAGTCCTGAAAACACACGGCGCATGATGAGGAACACCCATCTGACAACAGCACAGCTCTCAGGGCCACTTGGTGAGTTGATCGCGAGTGAGGGGAAAATGGAGTGCGCGATCTGCAGGCCGATTGGAGCGGCGTCAGCAGTAATGTGGGCGTTGTAACGGACCGCTGTGTTCTCAGTAAATCGACACTTTTATTGATGTTTTTACTGCAGTTAAATGGGGCTCAAAGCTATTACTTAAATGACAAGTATGCACAGTGTTTGATGATGAATTAGCTTTTGAAATATCCAAATAGGTTTAAAATAAGGTGACAATCATCATTTAATATTGAGGAACAAATCCAAATAGCACATGACACAATTGTTTAGTTCAACAGACGTTTTAAATTGAAAGCGCCGTGGTGGCAAAGATAGCATTATTATTCTCCATTGATTGCCTGAGAGGGAACATATGTAAATGATATATTTCACACACTGCGCAACACAGGACTAGAAAGTCTTCCTTAAAGCTTTTGAGATCTAAATAAGTCCCACACTAAGTCTTGACATATTGCCGGTCCACCCCGATCCTTGATGTATTAGAAATTGGTCCCTCGGGTCTCGTCCTAGAAAACATCCTGAGGAAGAGCAGTTGCTGAAAACCTGCTCCCGCATCAGCTGTCCTCTCCCTCCGGGTTTCCTCCGACTCCTCATCACGCTCACTCCGTCTCCGAGGAAGGCTAAATCTTTATTATAAATAATTGAGTGACTTCAAATTTGTCTTTTCCTCTTTCTTTATCCAATAAGGTGTCCTGCAGTTTGCCGCCGTGAAAAATTAATGACCGAGTCTATGAATTATTTATCAATACTTAATTACAACCAGCGAAATGAAAAAAAAAAAAAAGACTTGACAGGAAATTGATGGTGTTTTGACTGCAGACATCAGAGCTTGAATTGTTATGGATGAGGTTTGAATTGGATCTATTACAGCTGACTAGTAATAGTGTCAGAGGGTGAGCAGTGGGGGCAATACCTCAGTGAGCTTTATATCAGGGACATAAATGGTGGCAGACCAACAAATATGTCAAGGTGAGTCTCACTGTTTCTGTGTGTGTGTGTGTGTGTGTGTGAAGGGGCAGGGAATACTATGCTACATGTGGTACTGAAATGAAAAGTTAATCAATTGACTGATTAACAGAAACTTAATTGCAGACTGTTGTGATAATCATTTAATCATTTAAACCTTTTAAAAGGAAAAAATGCCAAACATTTGCTTGTTTCAGCTCGTCAACAATGAGGACTTGTTGTTTTTTTTAAATCATTGTAAATTTAAAATCTTTAGGCTTTGGACTGTTGTTTGGACAAAACAAGCAACTTTGAGATGTAACCTTGGGTTTAATAAACAGATTTATAATATAAAAGAAAACATGTCAGTTGCAGTGCTGCTCACATGCATTACACCTTTTTTTTGGTATTATAGTATGTGCATTGTTTAAAAATGGCAGTGACTAGTTAGTCTCAGGCCACGCATTTGTAACTTGTCTTAAAGCCTCTGAAGTATGCTATATTGCATCAAATGTTTTGGACTAAATGAGCAGCAATCAGTTGTTTGTGAAAACATAGCGTCTATATATTTCCTAGAGAGAAAATGTGACTGTATTTTCATTTTATCGTTGACATCATATCCTGATGTGACAGTTTATCTTTACGGTTCCCATGAATACATACGTGTGACGACAGTAGCAGTGAATGGCTGGCTTCGGCCCTGGTCTCGGAGCGCCACTAGGTTAACAGTGTACTCCTCCCCTGGTCTCAAGCCAGTCTGAACAAAGGAAGTGATGGTGCTGGGCAGCTGGGCAGTCATCCCGCCATCATTGTCCTGGGAAAAACACAGAGATAGGAGGACTATAAAACCAAAACAAAATGTTTGCATATTTTGAGTAAATGCCAGATACTGTGTGGCTTAAACTTCTCTCAGTGGAGATCTGGCAGATAAAAAGTATCCCCATCAGTATGACATTAACAGTGACTCATGCAGTAGATTTTCTGAACTGTATTTTTTTTTTTACAGAATTGAATATTTTTTGGTTGGTTTAGCACATTAAGTTCCCAATCCGTGCAGCGTACTGTATCTATGCTATAGTGATATTTCTCATACCACATTCTGCCGAGGCAGCACTCATGTTCATTTCCAAAGGCCTGTCACTCATCCATATGGAGCGCCTGCTATTCCCAGCTGTTCTCAGAGAGCCAGTGTTGCACATGTACTTGCTGCCGACAGACAGATGTTACACCTACTGCTGCTCCAAGATCCCCCAAAAAAAGCCTGCGCTACGAAAAGGCTGATATTAAAACAGAACATATAACAGCTTGCTTGCTTTCCTGAATCAAAACTGTAATTAGAGATGTAATCCATTTAATCACCTCAGCTAAATTACCGGGGTGGGCAGTAACACACAGCGGTAATGTTCTAATAACAATTGGTCCTCAATCTCAATAATAATACAGATGAACGGTAAATTATACAGAACAAATCAACGACAGTATATCCACTCCCATCTCCTATGTGGCAGTCGCCGCCGTCGGTAATTAGCAGGCGGTAACCTCCGGGTCTTAAAAGTAAAGCCAATGCGAAAAAGCCTTAAACTTGCATTCTTTCTAATAGCCATCAGGGGGCGACTCCTCCTGTTGCAAAAATAAGTTCAACTGAAACAAAGTCTAAGAGAAAAATGACTCTACTTCTCACTTGATGTATTATCTCACAAAATGAGTTTGTAGCCTCAATCGCTGGTTTTAAGTCTTCTTCAATACAGCATGGCGTTCATTTTGTGATTCATGGTCCCATTTAGAGTACAACAGACGATAAAGCAGGGTCTGCTTCAGGGCGTGGCTACCTCGTGATTGGCAGGTCGTTACCACAGCCTTGTCCTGTGTGGGAGTTGAGACTTCAACACCTTCACAGTGTGTTTTCAGTCCATAGCTGTAACATTTTGGCAGAGGTGGGTAGTAACGAGTCACCTTTACTCTGTTTGATGTATTTCTGAGTAAATTGTACCTGTCGTAGTTTTATAGCAATACTTCTTACTCCTACTAGAGTAGAATTTAAGAGAGAAAACATTAGTTTTACTCCGTGACATTTGGACGGATTCATTGCGCTACGTTTATTTATTTATTATTGTATGCGTTCATGATCCGTTAAAAGGCAAGTGGTCAGCTTGTCAAGCTGGTCCCAGGTCTGCTGACGCTCTGTTATCCTACCGCAGCCACAACTTCACATGCCTCTCTATTCAGAACAGCATGACTGAAACCTCAGCAGGCCCAAATTCATCTATTTTATTTTTGGACAAGCAACTGCACGCTGAAAGCAAATTACAAACATCTGACAGATATTCCCCGATATCCCATTCTTTGCAAACATTATGAGAAGCAGATTGACACACAGATAATGAGGGAAAACAGCAAGGATGCTAGTGAGATGCCAACTGGTATTATTGGAAAAAAATATAATTATTGTCTGTGACAATTTGTGAAATTAGATTCTCTTCATGCAAAGCCTTGACGTCCTTCAGAATGCATATAAATAGACAAGTGTGGGATGTCATACAGATTATATCTTCTGCAGAAAGTACATTCAATTAAAACTGTTAGGTGTGAAGTTTGTCGGGAGTAACAGGGACATTGTTTCTGGAAAAATGTGTTGTTGAATATTTATTATAGTAAATTTGAACTCTCAGAGAGGGAGATCTAAAAAAAACAGGGCAAATAAAACATTGCTGGATACCACTAGAAGTAAGTGATGAAATATATTTTCTGATTTGGGTACGCAGATGAATAATGATACTAAATACATCTTTAAACTATATGAAAGTAGTACAAGCTGTTTGTGGTTTATGTCCCACTTAACCGCCCGATTCCTTCAACAAGATGCAGCTTCAGACGCTCAAATGAGCCATAAAGATTGATTTTTCCGTTATTGCCTGACACCGTCTCGTCTTCCCGGGAGTCAAGGAGAGAGTCACAAAGTGCATCTGAACGGTGTTAAAGGCACGATTTAACATCAGGTCAAGTCCATGTTAGACGTCATGTGAACACATGCTTTGTATAAAGAGAACACTGCATATTTGCACAGCCTCATCATGTGTCGTGAACTGTAGGCTTTGCACATTCGCTTGACTACTCAACGTGAATGACAATGCTTCAGGGAAACCTCAACAGTTATGCAGGTGTCATGTGTGCTTTTTCAAAAGAAACCTGCAGCAGCTCATCCAACAATGAAAATTTAAAAAAGGAAGCTTCCAGGAAACTGAAACAGCTCTTGTGTCCTTGACAAAGTCACACAAATGATATAAATCATTACTGAGAATATTTCTTATCGCCAGCCTAATCAATTTATTACAAAAAGCCCAAAATATGATGTTTTATTGGAGCATCAGATGTATAATGTAGCTGTTTCTAACAGTGTCACCGGCAGGTCTCAAATCTGGCCCTGCCGCCCTTTATCTCCCTCTGTTTCCTTTTTTACAGAGGAGTGAGTTCAGTGTTTGTTTGAATGGGCCAATGCTTTCATGCCTACTTCCATTACAAGATTGTCAAAATTCACAATCCCCATTGCTGGATTTAATCCGCAGGGGGTGGGAGCGCCAACTCGTAATAGGATTTCCCCCCATGGCTGGAGCGAGGGAGGCCGCGTGGAAAGATACAGGGAGGAGCGTTTACAGAAGAGGATGGAGAGGAAGACGGAGGTGAATGAGAAAGAAAAGGACAGAGGGCACCTTCGGGGGCCAAGAGGTGGTAGATGGAGAGTAGAAACAAGAGAGTAGGAGGAAAAAAGGGTAAAGGGATGGAAAGTGCTAGAAGAAGAGAGACATGAAAGATCAGGAAGAAAGAGAAAGGAAGGCTAAAAGCAATCAAATGAAATTAGTTTTTTTTAATTCAGAAATGTTCTATCCTTTAAGGGATTGAAATAACACAAAAAAAGCATCTTAACATCAGATTTGAGGCCGGACCAAAGGATATCTCCCCCGAGAACACCTTAAAGGAGAAAACCAATTACTGTGAGAGGGCATGAGATTAGAGTGCAGTGAGTACCTGAGTTTACAGCGGGAATTAGAAAGAAAAAGCTTTTTGCTTTCTGGCTTTGAACCTGGGCCTGCAATGGTTTTACCAAGGGTTATTCTGCAAAAGGGTTTAATGGCTCATCCACCTAATAGCCAATAAGCTTGTCTAATTTGGTATGGACTTCAAGTTGAGGAAAAACCCCAAGAAAACCTAAATCCATCCGGTTATTTTTCTTCCTGTTTCTACACAGAAACTCAAAGTCATTTATAGATTAGAATTAGTGAGATTTGAAAAATAAAAAGTCAGTTTTTTCCTTCTGTTCATCTCACAAACAGGGACAGTGCGCGTGTCCTTCAGCCTGCTATAGTGCTGTCGTCTCACATTGGGACGGACAGCAAACACATACACTGACGAGCAAATTCACAAGGAATGGATTTGGGCCGCTGATAGCAGGTGGCCCCGCCATGTGTTTGTTGTGAATTAGCCCGCGTGTCCACACAGCTCGACTCTACCTTGGGGATGAAGCTGATCTCCCATCCGTCGAAGGAATAGTAGAAGGGTAACCACTGGACCTCCACTGACGTCTCCGTGATGTATTTGAAGACTAAACCATCCGGATTGGAGAGATCTGGAGAGGTAGCAAGAGACGTATTATTGTTCTTCAGTGACCCACACAGACCATAAATCACTCCTCCATCTCATGCTGAAGGTGACCAGTGCTGAACCTTTCTCTTTTACATTTATTGTTCTGTTCTGTTCTTCCCTCTGTCTTTATTCATTTTACTATGTTTCGATCACCCTGATGCTGCAATAAATGTTAGGATTGACAGTTTTTGATAAAACAAATGTGCTGTTTGTATAAAATGATGACCAAAAACTTATCAACAAGCAGTTATTTTCTGCCCGCTGAGAGCAGGCATAGTACTGATGATGGTTATATATAAAACCCCTGCAACATTAGTTTAAAACAAATGACTCATATTTAACAAAATGCTAAAATTACTTTTTTTTTTTTTTTCCACAAGCAGCCGTGTCCTCATAAATCTTTCCAGATAATCAAATACTACATTTCATAATTAAGTTTCGCAAAGACAACCCAACAAATCACATCACGTATGAAAAATGGTTGCATCAAACTTAATTGCCCTAAATTGACTTTATGACTCCAAACTCTGCTATCGCTGAAATTAAAGTCACGTATCTGTGAAATGGGGGATCATTTCACCAGCCAAGACTGAAGTAATGGCAATAGTATGCAGCCAGTTGATGTTGAGTGGATATAATATTCTGTATTTCATTGAAAATAGGCTTTTAATCAGGGGATCGGTGTGTTTTCATATCTCTGATAAGCATGAAATAGTATGTGTTTCTAGCTGATCCAATGACCTGCCATCAAAACGGGCCAGGAGGTACACATTCAGACGGTGTTCATATTTGTGTGCATGTATTTTTGTATGAGTGACATCAAGCAGGATTTACAATTGGGCTTCATAACCAGTTGGCACAGAGGAGCAGCTGGTATTCTCACTCTATCTGAGAAACATCTTCGGGAAGATTTAACCACAAAAAAAAGAAAAAGAAAAAGTGAGAGACGGGGTGTGTGTGCATCCCCATGAGCAGCTGTGTCCGTGTGAGAATGCATGCACACAGCACACATTTGAGTTATTACATTAATATGCGGTTGTAACCAAACATGGCCTCAGTGGAATATGCTTCAGGGCTCCCACGAGAACAGATTTTCAAAACAAGCGACAGGACTGCACTTACAGGTCGAAACGGTGATGCTGGCAGGGACGCTGATACTGTTGTTAATGACAGCGAACACGTTGATGTTGTACTCCATGCCTGCCTCCAGGCCTGAGATAGTGTAGGTGGTGGTATTGCCTGGAATCCTTATCTCTAGTTGCACACCTGACAGAGAGACAGGTCAAAACATACACTGGTACATTTAAACTGTGTGTGCTTTAAGACATTTTGAATCAGCTGAAACTTAAATCACTATCTTCTCTGCCTTTGAAAGGCCAGTACAGGTCTGCACATACCTCCAGGGCTGCTCGGTGTGTAGGTCACTAAGAAATCTGTCAGCACAACAGACCCCTCCCACTCCACGTCAACTGTGCGATCAGTCACGCCTCGTATCTTCACATTCATGGCCGGTGCCACTGTTGAGACCAAAAAACACAAAATTCTGTTTTTACGTGTGTTTTTGCAATTATATTCATACAATGTAACCACTATATCACCTTTTGAAAGACTATCTAGTATATTGCATGTGTCACAAGATTGCAGTTAGCCATTACATTTATATGGCAAAGTTTTTCCACACACATAATTCATTATTTCAGTGTAGTTGGGGCATTTTAGTTTAGTTTATTTGACACAGTGAGAGAGAGCAGCCCACATCACACATATCTGCATATACATGTCAGGCATTTGAATATGCAACTCATTCCAATTTCCTGCTAAACAGAAGCTACAGGACCAAATACCCATGTTGGTATTGAACGTCAGCAAGCTAAAGTCAGCAACACTAGCGCTAGTCTGCTGGCAATGGAGTTCCCCCAACACTACGGAAGTGGTCTTTTAGATACTCAGGGGCTTTGTTGTTGTAAAATGTGCACCACGCTGAGTTGTAGTTGTATGCCTCTATCCTTCAGAGGCAACCACTCGAACTGTGGGGGTATTTGTTTGAAAATGTGTGGTCTTGAGTTCAAATCCAACACAACACTGACTAACTTGCTCTGAGAGATCTGTCGTAAACCACGAACAGATTGATTGATAGTCAAAACAACCAGCAGCCTCGATGTTGCTTTATTGATTAAATTAGCTTTTCTAACCAAATCCTGGATCTGTTGTTCACTTCCCCGACTAATGCTCTGTTCACACTAAGAGGGACACAGCAACAGGCTACAAGTCATTTTCAATAGAAGTCAATGGCAAACTGGCACGCTAGAAATGAATGGTGAGTCCGTCTCAACTTGAAGGCGTTTCCTTTGGTGTAAAAGAAAAGCTGTTACTCAGTGCCAAGTGCTGATTAGCAACATAACTACGTCAACGAGAGTTTGAGCAAAACTTGTACAGCAACTCGACAATAATGCAGCTGGCCACGCTTGGCTGTTCTGTTGCTCGTAGTGTGAACATATAGTTAAAAAAAGATCCTGTACGGCTAACAGAGAGTTTGGCAGGAGAAATCTAACCATCTAAAACGATAGTGGTCGTACATAGTTTGCTAGCCCAACATTTTTTTGTTGTGAAAAAACAACTTATTGTCCTCAAACCAGTTTTTAATCTGACTGAATTATCACTCACTTAACCTCAATTTGTTCTCATCCTTACGTGAAGCCAAACAAACTGAGTGATCAGCACGTCGGAAGACATTTTCAGTACAAGCAGATCCCAAAACATCGACAGATAAAAGAAATAAGAACGTTCGTGAACTCTCCACTTCTTCTAAGTTCAACTTTCTGCTTAGTATGAAGCAAACCATTTCTTCAGACCATGGTCGACAGTTAACGCTTTAAAATACTGACAAAATTGCTCATGCACATTCACCAGCGGGCAATTTTTTATGCACGCCGTTACCAGCTGCAATATCAAGCAGCCCCTCCAACTCCCGGGCTCCCGGGCATGCAGTCCTCTCCCACTGCAGCACCTGATAGTTAGCCCTTGTGTGAAATCATGCTCTCCATTACATAGCACCGGGATCAGCGGGGCCGTGACAAGGATTAATTGTGGAGAGTCCACTTTAACAGCGTTATCAGTGTGGATGGAAAATGGACCGCAACACTGATGGATATACCTGGAGATTAAAAAGCCAAATTTCAGTTATGAGAGCCTCTTATTTTAGCCGGTCAGGCAGGTTCCTCCTTTCACTGCATGATTGTGTTGTTCAGAGGAAATGAAAGTCGAGTAAATGTACCATCAGTACCATAACCAAAGTACTTAAAACTATTGCCAACGCACACAACTTCGCTACATTTGCCATCATCTCGCCTCTGCATCCGTAATCTTTAAAACCAGACCATATGAAAAACTGCATTGTGTGGCTCAGTGCTGACATGAGAGGGAGACGCACTGTCATTCACTCGGGCTGAAGTGGAGATCGTCAAGCCATAAGCCTGAGAGGTGGTGTTGAATGTAAATGAGGAGGCATAAACAAGAGTGTTTACAGCTCCCACTGCCAAAAACAACGAGGAGGGGGGGGGGAAAGGTGAAGGACATAAAGGAGGCGAAGACAAGACAGAAAGTACAAACAGTTTGAGTTGGAGACAGATTCACAGACAGACAGAGGACAGGAGGGAAAAAGACGAGACGAGTAAAGCCTCAGGAGAGCGAACGGCTAACATAAAAAGAGGGAGAATGAGGGAGAATAAGGATGAAACAGTAAATGAGAGACAGGGAGGGGAGTAAAGTGAGTTTGATGGCGTGATAAACAACCCCTCACCCTCCTGTGATGCAGGAATCTACAGCACTGAGTTCTCCTCGGGCGAACCTCCGGACACTCTGGTAGCCGTTTCGTCTACTTCCTCACACACTCGACAGATGGGGGCGCATGCTGCGCGCTTAGTTCGTTCATTTACGAAACAGTGAACCTGCACCGGGGACTAATTCTGCAGCATTCAATTAGCTAGATTCATTTCATCAATTACCCTCGGCTTTGTCACGTATATATATGGAGGGAATAACAAATCAAATCAAGGAACAATAATCCACGGCATAAGAGAAGAGTGATTGAATGAGGTCATGCAAGGAGGCTGAACAGACGAGCTGCTTGAAAGGCACTAACTCACAGAGAAAGTGAAGGGCGGACTCTCAAGTCCACACTCCTCTGGAAAGTTAGTCAGAGGAGCTTTTTACTGAGCGTACAGCAAAGACGGAGAAGCATCGAGCACCTCACCTTGTTGTTGCTACGGGAAAGGTCATCAACATGGAGCAGTTCATTTGAATGCAAATGTCTTGTTTACTCTATCGTCGCCCGGGAGTGGTTCAACATTTCTCAACTGCAGAACCATCGACAGAGTGTCTGACCTTTGTGGGGGGGGGGGGGGACCGGGTCCAACTTCAGCAGCGGTTCTCAGTTCCTGACTTGATCTCTTTAGGCTCATTTTGTTCTCGGGCTGCCTACGGGGGTCTTAGGACGTCAAACAGTTTTAACAAATTCAGAATATGAAAACAAAGAATCACCAGCCGGGATGGTGAATCTGAACGTGTATACATGTAGCAGAAATGAAGATTCGACATAAATGTGATGTTACAAACACACAGGTTGTATTATTTGCAAACTAATTCATGTGCTGAAGGTTTTTTTTCTCTTTCTCAAACATGTATCTTTCTAAAGGTTTGCTTCAAAAGGGCAACTTGCCGAAGGTTATTCACGGATCTTGTCTGTAGTCTTTAAGTCTTATTAGGTCTAATCAGTATGTTATCATAGGCCTATACAGCAGTATGTACTGAATTAAAACCTTACGGAGGTACAACTCCAGCTGACAACGGAGGTCAGTGAAACATCAGAGGACTAACTTACCTTCAGGCTACTTCATGTGATGGAATTCTCCAGTTCATTTGCTTATAAACTGAAACTTCCAGTGTGAAGTACAATATTTTGGCATGTGCGTCTGGTAGAAAACATCTGAATAATACAGATTTTGAATCAGTTTTTCACCCCTGAATGAGGTCCAAGATTGAACCTGCTGTTGCTGAATTAAATCCCATGATATTGACCACTGTGATAGGGGATTGTTTTCCTTGATCTGTGTTTGGGTTAACACAAACCACACCATGGTATCACAAAGAGGGTTACCTGGTTTTACGGATTTTAACATTGGTGATCCTGGATAACAGGTATCACAAAGCTGGCAGCCAGCTGTCTCTGATAATTCAGCATTTACCAGTCCGGCTACACGCTTGGATGCATTTAGATATGAGAAGAGAAATCAGGTAATTGCGGTGACTTAAAGTAATGTCCAACAAGGATAGAATAAGAAGCAAAGACAGTCATGTTGCAGTTTGTATCCATGTCTGTCCAAAATGTCATCACTTCATCTTTTTATTCTATTAAAACATACTGTTTGTGTGAAATTGTCATTTCAGTTTGGCTAAAACGTGTTCTGTGAGGTTCAACTTCTAATCAGTTCAACCTTACGTGCAAGTGGAAGTTTGAGCCAAGTTTGAAGGAATTCCCTCAATGTTGTGTTCACGAGAATGGGTCAGACGGACGTACACATGTACGGACAAGCCGAAAACATAATGCCTCCGACCACAGCTTTCTCGGCGATGCAGAGGCATAAAAATAATAAAAAAGAAATAATACCATGAAGAAATACTACAAGAGGTCTACAAATAAGTATGGGATTTATCATATATGCCATAATATACAGTTTACATATTAAGTAGTTTTGAATGACAAGGGAGCTATGATAAGTTTAAAGGATAGTGTTTGAATAAAAAACTGCTGGATGCTTGATGTGTATTATTGTAATCTTAGTGCACAGCTTCAAGTATATTCAAATAGTCCCACCACATATAACAGCTATAACGTTTAATTATTGGCGAAACATAAATTAGCTGACGTTAAGCTAAACCTGTGGGGTTACCTATAAATGCAAATTTGGTTTCTTATCCTAAAAATGGGGAACACACTAGACTTTAGCTGAAACTCTGTGTTTCTGTTAGGATCCCTGTCTGCTCCTAGTTTGTGCTCCTCTGTTTTTTCCCCCTGTCTGTTTTGTTATTGTGGGCCATGTGCTTATGTTTTGTTTTTGTGTCAGCCTACAGTTTCCACCCCCGTGTTCCGCCCACTTCACGCCCCTCTCCTTAGGCTCAGCTGTGGCTCATTCCAGTGATCTCCGCTGGCTGGTTTAAATACCTCGGCGTTTCACCGGTGCGTCGTCAGTCCGTCCGGTTACCAGTCTGGACACGTAAGTCTGAACACCGATTCAGTGAAGATCGTAATCTGGTTGTTTTTCTGTTCCTTCAGTATTGAGTGCGGTCGAGTTTCCCTCCCGACTCCGGAGTCTATCTGTCCCGGCCTCGGTTGAGCTTCCCTCCCGACTCCGGTGGAGAAAGACGAGTGACTTTAATTTGCTGGACAGTTAGTCTTTGTTTTTGTTTGTTCCTTCTTTGACTCCTCCTGCACTTTTAAATAAAGTCTTGGCTGGAGTAAACCTGCTGTGTGTGCGTGCGTTTGGGTCCACCAACTACACTACCCCATAACAGTTTCTTTTAGTTTAGTTAAATACATACCGTCAAAGATTCTTTGTCATACAGGGGAGGAAAAAAAGAGAATCAATTTCTATTCAGTGCAGGAGAATGCTTCTGGACATCGAGTGGCTTTTGTCACAATCTACATTCACAATTTTAGTCAAACCTCGATAACAGTGTGTGTTCCTCAAGCTGAAGAGGCAGACTGTGAATGGCACCGATAAATAGCGTGGCCTTTCGCCAGCAGCTCAAGCTATTCTGTGAGCTGTGACGAGGTGGACCGTCACATGTCTGTCAAAGCCCTATTTATATACAGTTAATCTGGCTCATAATAGACACTGATAGACACAAGAAGCCATGCTGTTCTGTCAAAATCGATTGATGCAATACTTCAGAATAGTCTGATAAAAATAAGGACAATAAACAAACACGCATAAGAGACGACATCAAACTTCTTTGTAGTTTTGAACACACACACACACACACACACACACACACACAGCAGAACTTTAAAGCTGCAACACAGCTCTGAGAGCCACAACTAAATGTCAGTTGTCTCCACTGCCGCACTCAGAGGATGTCAACAACGTGAGAATGTCACCGCCACTTTTCAACTGTAGCATCAGGACTCATGGAGATGATTGTGGAATTCCTCTGCCGCCGAGATTAAATGCCACTCTTCAGCTCTACTTGATCTCTGCTTTGTGGGTGGATACATTTTTTATGTAAAGATTTACTGTATCCTACCCGTACGCCTGGAACATCCCATTTAAATTCAACAGCCTCCGTAATTTGTCATAGCGGGGGAATATTGGCCACCGTAATGGAGCAAAAATACATCGCGCTTTCTTCAGCTTTTGATAACATGAAACACTTAAGCCTGTCACCCTACAGGTCTCTGGTAATTGAACTGCTTCGTTTTGTATTCAGCAAACTATCCCCTACCAGCGTTGGCTAGTTTAGCCTCTAATTGCAAAAGAAATAAGCAATTCGGACTCCCTCACTTTGTACAGATATTTGACGGGATGGCGGCTCTCCTGTCTGTCCTCATCCTTCACTTTGTTGACAGCTGCCTCAAACGGCAGAGCGGCATCTGATATTGTGGCGTGAAGAGCTCGTGAGAACAAAAGGCGAGCACGACTCAGAAAACTGTCTCAGCTGCAGCTAATGTAGCATCTCTCTCTCTCTCTCTCTCCCCCCCCCCCCAGGATGAATGTGACTTCAAAGGCTGTTACACCTTCTGATGCCCGGCAAGTCACGTGCCCCGCCAGGCTGCATTTAAAGCACAGAGGGGCTTGTTTTTCAGGGCTGCTACAAACGATGGGGCTCAGCATTCAGACCTGTGCACCTGAGTGCTGTAGCAGTGACAGAGTGAGAAAGCTTTGCATTTATAAATCTATGGAACAAATCAGATCCATCTACCTGCTCTGTAGGTGGCCATGGAGCAGCATGGGTAAGAAGGTCTACCTTCTATCTAAACACTACACTAGGCGGTTGAATTAATTGCTTCCTGTGTTCTTATTGAAGGTGTGCCGATTAATGAAATCCCCTGTTGTAGCTGTAATCTGTTTGCAAACTCTCAGCACTCCATGGCACATGAGTGCCGATACCCACACACTACTGTATTTGTTATAAATTGTATAAAGTGTTCGGATTAATTAGTTGCTTAATCTATAAATCAATCTTCAGAAAATGTATCTCCAACCAAATTGATTATTGTTTCCATAATATATCGTGCAAAGAAATGCACACTTATAGTAATAAAAAAGAATGCAACAGCGTAACATCACATAACCATGTACGAAGGCCTGTGCTATAAGCTTGTATAAATAGGAAATCCCACGAGGGAATGGAGAGGCCAGCCGGTGGGAAATAAATAGTCAGCAAGGGAATGATTTTGGCGTAAAGCCTCTGCACATTGTGATGCCGCTCTTCCGTCATTTACACTGATCTTCATTACTGCATACGTTAATGAGTTTGCTTACCCGATTGTAAACATGTAGAGGATTATTGTAGAGGAGAATTAGACTTCAAGTGCATTGTAGCCCACACAGTCTGTAAATAGCTATTAATATTTAAAACCAGCATATTCCTGACTGATCAGAACCTTTGTAATTAACAATCATTTGACATTATTTATTAGCTTTTATTTATTTATTGACACCTTGACTGTAAGATTTATTGTTTTACTAGAAACGTACAGTAAATGCATTCTAACTGAATGGGAATAAACAAGGTTATTAGAGTAAGAGCAGCCACAGAGTGGTGTATTAAAAAAAAACTCCGATCTGGATTCACCTCGACGTGAAAAAAGCTACATTCGCCGAAAAAGCAAGTTGTTTGCATCCCTGATTGTTTAGTTTCTGACATTTTACAGTGTATGTTTGACAACCAGTATATAGGACTTTAATCTGAAGTGTGCTTTTAATGTGACCACCCAAATAAACCTCAGAGATAGTGCCAATTCAAGGACAGAAAATGTGTCCACATTACAGTCAATATCTCCCGGTAATGCAGGCACTCAATCTAACGGCGCAGCTTTTAATTTCAAAAGGAACCTGTTCCTGCTCAAGCATTCAGGCTGAACTGTCTGAGGGTCACAGAGTGTCGTTGTGAAATCTGTTCAGGCTGGATTTCTGCTCCGAGTTACTTGATCCTGGCCACATTGACAGCAAGTGTAACAGGAAACAAGTTTCTGCTTCAGGGAATTCAACCACAAATGTCTTACAAACTACTTTTAGTGCTTGACAACAGTCAAGAGGATTAAACTGACCAAAAGGTTAAAAAAAAAAAAGTAATAGCCTACCAGAGTTGCAGTCATCTCCTGCAAAGCCATCCTGGCAGACACAGAATCCCTCCTTGCAGACTCCCTTCTTGCTGCAGTTGTTGGCGCAGTAGACCAGCGAGCAGTCCTCCCCCACGTAGCCGGGCCTGCACTGGCACGTCCCGTTGACGCACAGCCCCTGGTCCGAGCAGTCGTTGAGACACCTCCCGACCATGCAGTCTTCGCCGGTGAAGGACTCCTCGCACACACACTCCCCGTCGATACAGAGCCCGCGACCCGAGCAGTCCGAGGGGCACCGTGGCTCCGAGCAGTTGTCGCCCCCGAAGTCCCGGTCGCACACGCACTCCCCTTCCACGCACACGCCCTGGCCGGAGCAGTCGTCCGGGCAGCGAGGCTCCGAGCAGTTTTTGCCGGCCCAACCTTCCTCACAGATGCAGCCGCAAAGGTCAAAGCTGAAGCTGCCGTGGCCACCGCAGCCTGGGACAAAGTCCAAATGACCTGGTTTGAAATAATTTAAATCGATATATACATTATCATGTAACAAAATGATGCTCGATTCAAAACATGACAATGCAATCAAACCTAAAGGGATAGTTCGGTTTTGGAGGATTATTACGTGTGCTTCTTTTATTCTAATATACACTTAGACATGAACACGTCCAATCCTCTTCATGTTCACATTAGGCCTGAGTACCAGAGAGACAAGACATCATTGAAAAGCTGTCTCGCTTTGTGCATTTCCATCTAGCCACCGTCCTCTCCGGCAGATCATTTCATCCTCATTCTGATTCACGTCGTGACTGCTGCAGATAATCATATTCCCACTGAAGAGATGGAGCATTTTCAGAAAATATTTGAATGGGGGTGATGGTGTCAATAGAGCAGATCCTTGAACCATAATATAGCCTATAACTCTATCCATTCTCCTCCTCTCATATTATAATGGCGGCATCTCCTGAATAGTGAACAAAATGTTCACCAGTCGCAAAAGGTTTCTCCACACCTTTTAGACCGAGACTGCGTGTGGGGAAAAAAAAAGTCGCCCTCCAGCATTATCATTCTGCTGCCGTCTGTCTGCTCTTCATTCATAGTATAAACAGTTTTTTTCGCCATCTTTTACTCATAACACCTGTTTTTTTTAATTCCTTTTTCCGCATATGAGACTGAGTTTGTTTTGCATGAATTCCTTGCAGCTTTTTCTATCTTTTCATTTCAAAAGCCTAATGGTTGACACCAGAAGGTTTTTTTGTGTGCAAATATTGTCAGTAAAATGGCTCATATAAACGAAAAACAACATCCTCCAGCTTTATCCACGTACTTTGTTGTCACTGTTTAACAGCACTCACCCATGGCTGAGCTCTCCCCACAGCATCCAGACCCACACTGAGCTCTGAGCAGGGACACCTCTCTCTCCAGCATCTCCACCCTGGTGGCAAGTTGCTGGATTGAGGTTGTTGCCGGACAGCCGCATGCAGCTTTTGGGATGTTGATGCGGTGAGTGAATGTTACCTGAAGAGGAAGAAGTAGTACAGTTCGGTTAAGAAGTGCATATTGTCACCTCGGGGCAATAATTAAGCTTATCGGGCAATTTATCGCCAATTTATGGGACAATGCGGATTGTGTTAACTCTGAAGTGATACTTCACTCTTTTTTTTTTTTTAATTATCAAACACTCACCTAGCCTTGAAGGTTTGAAAAGTAGCAGTGAGAACTGAGGCCAGTGTCAGTTTTCATGGTGTAGTGAAAAATATCCACATGTCTGTAGAAACGTACTACATTACCCACCTCTTCTTTAATCTTTAATATTGTAACTTTTTCCCCCATCTTGAAAACTGGTAACTATCAGTCCATCAATAGTTATGGACTTGAATTCACGACCACAGCCTCTAGAGTCAGCAGTGCTCGGGGGTTAAGCACTCAAAAAACATCCTGCTCTTTTGTTTTGCTTTAATTATTTCTGAGCTAAGCAACATATCAGCATACACATCAGTATGTAAATGACTGTGTGATGAAACAGATGTTGTCCTTTAGATGACGCCTTTGTTGTCGTTTCTGTGCAACGTGAGGCAGTCTGCCTAAATCACTCGCAAAAAGTCTCTTCACACCTCAGCCTTGTGTCATCCGAATCACTGTATAACTCTCTATGCTTTACTACTATTTAAACAAAAATACTGCTAAAACACATACCTGGCTGTCTGCATCCAGCGTCTGCTCCATGTATTCTGTTGGTCCACTGGGATCCATTGGTCCCTCCACAGAAGGTCTGGACCCCAACTCAGCACGAGCACCTTTGGATCAAAAAAGAATTGGTCTTAAAAAGTGTCTAAAAACAACACGCTTGTGTGTCTCTCTGTGAGAACAAGAGGGGCCTCCAGGGCGTGAGATGACTATAGCGAGTTTAAACCCAAACACTCGATCGATGAGAAGCCCTCACCATCCCCTGGGGCAGGTGGTGCGGAGGCGTCCAGGTCAACGGAGCACAGAGACTCCAAGGGTACATTGATGTTGTAGACGTGGTTAAAGACCACGGGTTGCTCCCGCAGGCTCTCGTTGGCTGAGGAAGCGGAGGGGGGCTGATCCCCCCCTGGGGTCTGTCGCCTCACTCTGGTGGTACGCACCAGCTTGTTGTCTCCTGATGGAGCAGCATGAACGACGCCCTGGAGAGAGAGAGACAATATGAAACAAAAAAAACACTGCACGTGGTTTGGACTCCGGGTTTTGTTTTCGTCCTTTATATCTTGTGTTTACAGCAGATGATGGAGTGAAGATAACAACCCAGGGAGGACAAAAAAAAAACAAGATGACACTAATACACAGCATATGACGGATTCTCTCACTGGTTGGCTGACAAAACCATTTTTACATTCAAATTTTGGATCATTTTCAAAAGATCTGGTGACAGTTCAGTATTTTTTAAGATTGTGCTTTCTTTGTATCTGGCAGAAAGCACATATCATTTCTAAGATTGGATAAAGCCAGTAACATTTCAAGGGAGAAAGAATGAAAAGCAGAAAATAAAAAGATGTTTGATTGATAATGTCTTTAGAGGTAGTTATGATTACCAGCACTATCTGTGTGCAACTGATAATCGCAAAACCCTTTCACTGTACAGCAATTTCTTTTTTTTAAATATAGCTTAGCAACCCTAACTTGACACAGCAGGTCTGTCAAGATTTGGACTTCTCCACATTTTACAGAGATCTGCATTCCGCTGTAGTCTGAACACTGCTCCGCATTTAAAGAGTTTAGAGGATGTTTGTCTTTTCTTGGCCTTTCTACAGCTAAAACACACAAGCAGGGAATTGATTAAACTGTGCGTTTATCTTCCCAAATGTTAGCATGGTCTGCTAAAGTAGCTTCCTACGAACCACGCATTACTTCCGAGGCACATCATTAGCGAACAACAGTAGTTTGTGGGGTTACAGGTGCAGTATTTCCTCACCGTGTGGAAACCAGTCCAGTCCGAGTTTCAGCAACTACATCCACTCTTTCTCTAGCTTTAGATGCATCCGCCAGAAAACACTGATAAGTCCTTATCGTTAAAGCCCAACAAGTGTGTCAGCAGCCGAGTAAATAACTATAATAACAATAACTTGTAATGTTGCGTTTTTTCTCATCATACTTTTAATACTAAGAAGATTTCCATGTCTTCATGGCTCTTATGATGGTGAATTTCTGCTTAGCCCGTGCAGCTTTGGTCTCAAGCATTGTATGTATGCCTTCAAGTGCATAGACACCTTTTTACAAGACTATAATTTAAAACCACAGTTGGAAAGTTAGCTTAATTAGCTTAGGTAGGTGGGTAACTACAGCCGTCGACATTTTAGCCGACAACAGTGACGGTCTAGAAACGAGTAACCTGCTCTCGTCTACCTCTGTCTGACAGCAGGAACTATTCTTTACTGAGAGTTTGGAGTGGTAAATCTGCCACCATTATCCCAGCACAATGCATATGTGCATAACAATGCAAGAATGGAAAGCTTGACAGACATAGCCACAGAAACTGTACGGAAAGTGGGGCTGAGTGAACGATCAATTGTACCACTTTGTGCTTGCTCCCTCATAACAAAAAAAAAAGGTGTACTTTGTAGGAGCAATGCAAGGAAAACAACACTGAACTGCAAATCATCACTTCTCTCTGATACTCAAACTGGTCAGTGTGGATTTGTGCCCAGAGTCAAGTGATTAACATGGCTGCCAAAAATAGTAGATTGAAAATAAATAATTTATATGGCGGAATTAAAAAAAGCCCAGGGGAAAATGGACAGGGTTATTTTTTTAACCTAACAAATTGTTACCTGTAGAGCAAGAAATAGAGAGAAAGCAAAGATCCAGACCGCTGTGGGCGCAGTGGCCCTGTGGTGCTGCTGTGCCAGTGGCATGCTGGGAAGAAACCTCACCACTCCTGTGCACCGACACCTGCGGACGAATGAGAAAAGGTGGGAGGAGAGAAAAAGCCGTCAGTGGTGTTGTGTGTGTTGCATTAAAAATACATAATGTACACTGTTCCAGTGGTAGTTGTGAGGTGTGATAAAATGGAAACATATGTGTTTGTGTGTGTGTGTGTGTGTGTTCAGTCCCACTGCCATCAGCTTATCCTCTGTAAATGCTAAATAAATGCCTTTGATCTGATGTGAAATAATTGGCTTTAGAAGAAAAAAAAAAGAAGAAACTGCTCAAGGGATTTTGGAAGTGGCTAAGAACCTTTGGATGTATTTCACAAACATTTCATCTTTCCACTTGGGAGGAATACAGAGATGATTCTCAGGGAGAGAGTTGATGGATGGATTTCAGTAGAGAAATGCTTTTGAGTGACGTCGGTGTAATCCGCTCTGCATTGAACGGGAAAGTGAGAACAGGGACACAGCCGCTCGGAGGAAAAACTGATGTGGATCCCTCAAGCCGACAGCCGCACATCAGCACAGATAAAGCCGAGCTGACGTTCGCCTTTAATGTGGCTATTTGACTTTATTGAGGTTTGTCACCGACGGCAGCCGAATCAAACATCTCTCTCAAGCTGCCGAGATCTACCTAGCAAAGTGTGTCGACAGCTTGTGTCTTGAAAGCACGAAGACAAGACTGAAAAGCAATTATGTGTCGGTGCGTCAGCCTGTCATAGCGGCACACTTAAGCACGATTCCCTTGAGTTTTAGCATGTTCACGTCTGTGTGTGCATGGGCAGAAGACTGTTCAGATGGGGTGGGGGGGGGAACACATCTCGCGGATGAGCCTGTGTAGTCTGTCTTTGAGAGCCTCTTTCATCAGCACAATGCATCTCATGTTGGTGAGGCAGGCTACTGCTCTCAGCTGGTGCCTCTTGTGAGGGCCAGATGGAAGACTTCTTATCACACCTAACTGGCTCTGCCGTCTTTTTTGATCATTTAGGGTGAAAACGTTGAAACATCTGCACATAAAATGAGAAACGGGGAGAATCCCAGTGTGAGTCAGGCGTCCTTTTAAGTTTGTCTCATTGAGGGAAAATGAAAATGTTTGTTGTTGTTGTTTTTTTTAATTCATGGATACTCCCACTGTTCGCACAGTCACACTTCCCTTTCAAGATCTTTGGCACCCACCTGAACATCAAGGCAAAGTGGAACCACCTCTGTGTACGAGGTTGTGTACGTGTGTGGTGATCAGGACCACTCGCATTAAGAGCGTTGACACATACAGTACATCATAAAAGTCCCGTAGGGGGAAGATAACCGCTGATACGTTACAATCTACAGCATGCCTCGCTTCAGACGGTGCCACTAATGCTTTTAACAATGACTTTGTCCTTGATAGAATACACTCCCAACCAAAGAGATGGAAAATGTTCTACTTAAAAAAAAAAAACTCTCCCCCTCAAGCGTGCTGCTGTCTGACACGACACGAGCCGTTTAACTGGTGAGTTCACCAAACAAATGAGAAGCACGGCGACGATGAAGGAGCGAGATGGACAAAGCCAACTGGAACCGCCTTGTTCACAGCTATTAGCCAGAGCCGCGTCCCTTCGGCTAGCGTCAGTAGACGGCTCCCATGCAGGCTGAAACCACGCGATGATGATAGATGCACGGATGTTTCGCTCACTTCCTGTAACACGCATGATGGGAAAACAGCTCCCGGATCAAACGATGTGAAATTGGAGGCCGATACGATGTTTGGAATAACAATTTTGACAATAGCAGATTTTTGTTGTTTATTTTGGTTTTGTTGTTATTTCTGTGCCAGGGAAACAATTGAATCTTCATTACAAAAATAACTGTTTTAAAGTCAGCGTAATAAAGAGCTGACTGACTTTAAATGAGCACAAATCCAATCGTACAAATGTGTGAAACACCAATGAAAACATATTTTTTTTTAATGAAACGTAAATTAAATGTAAAGAAAATTTATGAAAGCAAAAAATAAATCAATGAATCAATACAAACATAATTATCTTTCACCGCTTGTGTTTTTCAGACAATAGAATGTTTTTGTGTTTCCATTAAGCGCAAACTTTCAGTCGGCATGGGGCTGAACACGAGCCTCTCTATGAGAGAAAAATAATCACACAACCCACCTCCTTTGAATATTAATGATAAAAGGAGAGAGAAAAAAATCACTGGCAGCCTACTACAAAGTAAGATGCACGATAAGCATCACTCTCATCCAAGATGTGAGCCTCAAAGCTGAACAGCCGCTCGCTGAAAGCAAACTTGAAAACAAACAACACGTGCACACGCCAACCGTTGCACTCTCACGTCAAGCCAGAGTCTTTTTATCCAAATCAGCAGCTGCTTCTGATGTCGGAGTCTAACCACAAGTATCTAAAACATCATTTAGCCAAGCACAGAGTTGTTACGGCTGCCCACTGCCATCAGCAGAAGTCATCGAACTAGCTGAAAGGGCGATAGTGGTAAACAAGGCGAATATCAGCCGATGAATTGGTTCATCCCGAGTTGCCATAATATTGTGTCTTACACTCGAGTTTCACCAATACTGTATTTGAGACCAATAAAATCCACTGACAATATATCAGTCGACTTTTGTTTTTGCTAAACACATAACAGTATTTTGAGAAGGAACAAGGGATGTTAAGTGAGCCTGGGCCAAAAGCGTGGCTAGCTTCAGTGCTAACCCTTCACTTCCATCAGCAGGGAGCAAGCAAGAACTTGGTTTGGGTCTAGAGGAGTTGTAGCGTTTATTCTCCAACAAATAAACAGACTGTACTGCTACATTTAAAGCTATACCGTTACTGCTAACTTCATACTCATCGCCACACAAAACGGGCCGCCGGGCTTGCACAAACACACTGGTGGAAGCCCTGACTATAGGAGACCTACTGGGAAAGTGGCTGCATGTGTCCATGACAATGACGCAACATCGTGGCTGCTGACTCTCTCTGAGACGGGTGAACTGGGGACTCAGTTGCCTGTTTTGCACAATGCACACTGCAGCTGGCGGTAAACGATGGAACAGGATATCGCTACAGTTGGGCAGATTCTTAGCACTTCAACCACAGCACCCATGCATGTAAGACATCTATCTTGTCGGTTAACAAGCGTCGGCTTTTGGTCAGAAAAGACCAATGAGTTTTGGTACAGGGAAAATACAAACCTTGAAAGAAAAATAAATAAATACAAAACATTTACATGAATAAAGACATAAATAAATCAGCTGCGACTTCAAAAGAGCTACCGATATTTCAGACAGGCTCTATGTTCTACCAGCTTATACCATATTCTGAAGCTTCTTCTCTACGACAAAGAAACAGAGGTAAAAATAGATGTATCGTGAGATAAAAGTGTCATGCAACCTTCTTATCTCACTACAGATAAAGGAGAAGTCTTGCTTTAAGGCATAATGCTTTTAAACGCCCACCAAATATAGACCCATACAGCACATTAACACAACCCTACACATAGTTTTACGCTGGTAATGACACAACTTTGAAAGAGTTTCAAAGTCACAGGGTTACACTTTAGTCAACGGGTCATGGTGCAGGCTGATGCCCACCAGCATTTCATCGCACAACGAGAGGAGGGTTTTTTTTTTCATGGAGGCTCAATTAAGGACAGACCCACTCATTCAGAGTGAAGAGAATCAACATGCTGCAGGCACTAAAAACTGGCTTCATTTACTCGCTTTCTTTTCCCAGCAGAGAGAACACACGAGCACAGCAGCCCACACAAAACCAAGTGCAACGATACCTACTCATTCAAATCTACAGTACTGCTGCATTTCCAGGCATACCCGCACGAGGAAATACACACACAGAAGCACATAATCACACTGTCATGTATCAAGTGTTTTTTAGCATTTATTCGTTATACCTCCACCTGCGTTGATGGTAATTAGATCCGTCAGTAATCAGCCTCTCAAACTAGAGATGCTTCCTAAACGTGCAAGTACAAAAAAAGGGGACGCTGCAGGGAAACCGAGCGTGCATGTGTGTGTATTTGTGTTGCCGCTTATTCACAGACTCTGTCTGAGAATGCTCTGAAACAATACTGTCACTTTATGTATTTTCCTGAGATAAATCGGAGGGGCTCACCCCCCCTGTGGGGCTGAAATGAAACTTGCCTGTTTCAATTATAACAAAAACCATCAGGACACTTAATGCAGCGTCACAGAGGAGAAGGTAAAATATTCTTTCTATACAGAAAAGGCAACTCTGCAAAATACCCCGAGTGTAAAATGAACCACAAAAATCAGCATGCTTGAAAGTTGAATGTAAAAAACACTTTGATCTTGTCTAACTTTTTTCATCTTTGCAAGATTACATTTCTCTCTGAGGTGAGCGTTTGATAATTTTGTCTTGAATCTTTCACAATATCTTTCTCTTTCATCCCAGAGTGGTTTACGGGCAGGAGAGTCGATATCAAAAGAGAATTGAGTTTTTAAAATGCACAGTGTAACGACACCGATATAGTAATCCAACCTTTGTCATGTGCGTATAATTCAAACAGAGTCTGGGGACATGCTGTGGATACAGATGTGCTGCTGGATAAGAGCTAAATGACAAATAAGTGTATCAGGATCTTTATGTTAAAGAAGCCGAATAACGAAGGATAAAAAAAGAGAAAATGTATTTAAATGACTTGAGCTTAATTCTGGTAATGATCTTTACAATGTGTAAGTAATAAATTAATTTCTAAAACAGTGTAAAGACATTTTAAAGTAGAATTCTTAAAGCTATCCTTTGTTGAAATATAGTTATGAAATAGCATGCTCAGCAGCTCTACAGATCCTGGCTGAACAAAGTCAATGACAGATATTAAGAGAAACATCTTGCTGGGAACATTAGCTATTGGAAAGACAATAGTAAACTACTCGGCTTTTTTCCTCAGGGAGAAAAATAAACATTTACACACCAATACCATTACATTAGTGTCGGATCTTTCACAAATGGCCCCCAAAGGTACACAAGGAGTCATTAGTGCTCACACTCTTAAACACAAAGCATGCCCCATGTAATGGATCCGATACAGGAGGAGGAAATGGAAACGCATTGTAGATGAGGACACAAATATCCAGTTAGAGTTAAATGTGAATGGAAGAAAAATCCTGCATTTGTCGAATTTCTGCCTTTGATTTTGACATTTGAACGGGTGATATTGCTGTATTTCGTAGTCTAGTCATTTTTAGAAAAACAACAAAAGAAAGGAGAAATAAATTGCCTGGTGCTACAGACCATTGTTGTTGGATTCATGAAGTGAATCTACCGTCGCTCACGTGTGGCTACCTAAGAACAAACTGCGCTTTCCCGGCCTTTCTCCTCATCCCTGATTCCTGGACTCGTCCCGCCACCTGAATCTGCAGCTAGCTAGCCTTGTTCAGTTTTGAACGTTGTGTGTTGTCGTGTTTTTAACCCCCCAATTGTAGCATGAGCAGACTTTGTATTTCACAATCGCTGTTTTCCTTCAGAGCGTTTTCATGACCTTGACATTTCTAACCGCACTTGAAGGCAGCTACATTCATTTCACAGCAGCTAGACAAGAACAAACTAAAGGACTGACTTGTGCTGGAGCCACCAAATTCCCTACAGAATTGTTCCAACAAGAATCCATGTAGTCAGTTGTTACACAAACTCCTGCATCGTTGAGGTAAGTGCTTGTGTCTTGTTTTTTTTTTTACCCTCAGAGGAGTCTTTTATTTTTCAACTTGCAAATGCAAACATTAAAAAAAGCCCTTGAAGGTTTGTAGTT